TTTGTAATCTAAAATGACTGAAAATTGCAAATTTCGCAAGGCTATATTTTCCGCATTTTACAACATTTTGCAACGAAACTTTGGAATATTACTAATTTTGTGATGTTCTTTCAAGCTGTATTGAAATTTTTGTTGAGATCAAAATTTAGTCTATTACGCAAATGGTCAATTAAAAGGCCTGAAATGCGCCTTAAAAACCATCATTCAAAAGGCTGAACTGTGCCTTTAATTTGTATAAAAATATCTTTCCACAGTGTGAACACATGGGAATCTTATAAAAAACACAAACAAAGACGAAATACAAGAGAAACGGGCGACAACAACAGTGAGGCGTTTGCAATGCTCGTCAGTAACGCTATCAACGTGGCGGCCATTCCGGATGAGGCACAGGAAGCTCAAGCGAGTGATAAACCTGACATCAAGGAAACTATTGAAGAAGTCGAGGAAAAGTCAAGAACAAATAGGTGGGTTGGAATAAAATATCGTACATATTGTTAAAATACAACAGCACAGAGTATATATTATATTATATTATATTATATTATATTATATTATAATATAGCTCTATACTGTGATAATACGCTTGCAGGGGCTATAGTATTAGGGTCTGCAAAATGCTATTTCATGCATTTTAGACACATTGTATGATAATCTGAAAGCCACATATTTGGTAGATGAAAACATGAAGTTACTCCCCAGTTTCTCCTCAGATTTGGAATAATGACTGAATTGGTCCTAATGCATTTTCAGCACATTTTCAGATATCTCAATAACACTAAAATAAACTCCTTCATTCACTCAGTATATCCACCCACTAAATTATGTCCAAAGTCCCACTTAAATGAGAATCAGAGTTGATGACAGTTGCAACTCTCGTTGTGAGAAAACTCTCACGCAAACTCTTGCTTCTCAACTCTCACACAAACTCTCATGCAAACTCTCGCTTCTCAACTCTCATGCAAACTCTCGCTTCTCAACTCTCATCAACTCTCATGCGAACTCTCACTTCTCAACTCTCATCAACTCTCTCAACTCTCATCATCGTTTGACCAGGGCTTAAATTAGTTCCGTTCTTTCAAATACCCAACACAAACATACGGTTTGACGACTGACTCGTGAACAACACACATCCTACCGTAGGCCATCATAGAACAGCTCACACAACTTTGCGTTTATTCATTCCCCAGTATTTTGATCAATCGGGATTCGGATCATATCCGTAACAGCCGTGGTTCCAAAGTCCTCTCGTGGAGCGATATCTCGACGACCAAACCTGTGGAGGAAGACGAGAATTCAAAGAAAAGAACAAAAAGTGAAACGGAATTGAAATCTTTACCAAGAGGAAGTGGAGGGTAAGACGACGTCAAACTTTGGCTGAAGTAATCTCAAATTCATAAATAATCAATGAGCGGTAAACAACGGAAGGCAATTAGATATACGACCTTAATTTGCACAGAATTTCGTTAACTTTTCATCTTAAATTTCTCTTAAAATACTGAATGTTTTGTGAATCTGAGAGGTCATATCAATTCCGACTATTCCGCTACCAGATATCCAGACCTTGCTGATAGTTTATCTAGATGCGGCCGCCTTATGGGTAGACAGTATGGCCATGCACGCTGTACTTGAAGGCAATTCATTCCCTTGCTAAATGACTTCAAATATCATCATATGACCATGTACTTGGCTACAATGAGGCAAATAGTGTCCCTTACTTTGCCAAGAAATAACAACAAAGTGTTTAAGTTTCTCTTCTTATTTTTCAGGTCAAGTCATATTCCCGCAATTGTCGTAAGTCAACCAAGTATAGAAACTGAAGATGATGAATCCGAAGCTAATGATACAGATAGGTATAACATTTATCGGATACGATTTTAAACAATAACTAATAAGTCAAAAACTCTCAAGAGAAACTGCAGTTGTTCAAAGGTGGGTTAGCGCTAACCCTGGGTTAAAATTTAACCTGCTGTTTTAGTTTATGTATTTCTGCACTTCTGTTTAGAAGAAACTTCAGAGAAATAAACTCCTATCCATCCAGACAAGATTTCTAAAGAAACATTCCCAACTCTATAAACAAGCTGCCAGGAAGTTCGCTTTGAATTTTAGGTTAACCTATAGGGTTAGGCCGATCGGCTTTCGAACAACCAGCCCTTGAATAATAGACTGTAGTGTTTATTGCACCGTTACCCTAATGCATGGCCTCGTTTTCGTGTAGTTACTTTTTCCTGTTTCGTGCACAATTGTTTAAAGATAGGCTGGTGATTGGGATCAAGGAGAAACATATTCGTAAACTTCATGTCAAAAATTACGGTTGCCATAGAAGATTTTAATTCCACACAAAACAATAGACACTCGTAAATGGTTAACATTTTCATTCTCTACGTTTCGACTATTACTTTGTTGTCGTCTTCAGAATGCCACGTTTAAAAGCAAACTACTTATAAGATCGCAAGCAGTGCAAGTAACTCTCAAGCAAGGGAGCTTATAAGTTATAAATACTGATTGGATTTTAGAAAACGTGGTATTCTCCTGAAGATGACTCCTTTCATGTGCCGCATAAGTAGTTGCTGGTGCATTATTTTACAGGACCATGGCTAGGGTAGATTCTAGGGTTCAAGGTTGATATCTTATAACATTTTTCAATGTTTTGTCATAGATTAATTAAAGATGACAATGACAGTCCTAAGAAACCAAGTGAAGAGCCAAATCAAGATAAGAATGCCACAACATACAGCTGGTAGATAGATAAATGACAAGAAATTTATGTAAATTAAACGAAAGTGCCAAAACCAACAAATTTTTCTGTTTTTATTATTTAGTTCAGAACATGTTAAAGATATTTTGAGAGAAAGTTATGGCGACGAAGTGGAAGAATGGTTTCAAAAACCGAAGAAAACGTCTTCACAAGGTAAATCCCATCTAAGCCCAGTTTCAATTTGGTTTCTCCTGTCGCGAATAAATCATGGTCTCGATCTATCTTGTCTTTACACCAATGCCTTTGAGCGACCGTGCAAATGCCATTTAGCTCTATATATGTCTGGAGTAAGAACCTCAGCCATTCGGCCGATGAGAAAAGTGATTGATAAATAGATAGAAGAAAAACTTTATTTAGGCACGCTAACCACTCCAACAAATGCTGATAGTACAACATTTGGTAAAAAAAGGTTAACTATTTACAGAGTGTCAAATTAATGTGCAATTTACAGTACAGTGAAGCCAAGACGGCGGGGATTGACGTCCAAAATCTATGTCTATGACTGATCGTAAGCAGTTTTTATGTACTATTTAATAAACGAGCAGGAGTGTTTTATTAGGTTTAAAGTCACGAGCGCGCAGCGCGAGTGGCTTTAGACCTAATAAAACACGACCTGCGAGTTCATTAAACGGCTTCAAACACGACTACAAATTTACTGCCTTATTAGTATTCTTTATATAAAAAATACTAATGAGGACACGACCACAATAGATACTGCCTTATTAGTATTCTTTATATAAAGAATACTAATTAGAAGTGTTTTATCAGGTTTAAAGCCACTGCACGTGACATATTATGGTTGACATGATTTGCCAATAAGCTTATGAATTATTAATGAGTGTTTGAAACATTGTTAGCAGTTCATAAAACTGATAACTCATAAAACTCCTTGCAACCTTGTGTTAGCCGCGCAGACAAAGCAAGAAAAAGGGACTGGACGTCAATTTCCGCCATCTTTGGCTTAACTTTTTGGACGCGAGTTCTCGCTCCAGTTAAATATGGAGCTCACAAAACCCGGTTTAACTTGTTAAAACTCGTTTAAGTGAAGCTCGCCCCAGTTCCCCACTCTAAACTAACAGTACTCATTTCTCCTTCCGTTCAGACAATCTAGAACAAGCACCAGATTCCAACGTCAAGTACCAAGCCATCAAGACTGACGAAGATGAAGATATAGACTGAATACTTGTGCGCAAATCATAATGTTGGCGCAAAACACTAATTTATAGACCGATGCTTAACGCGCAGATCGCGCAGTTGGCGCTATAGATTATATATGTATAATCGCAAAGAAATGCCCAGTTTTGAATATTATTTGAGAATGCTCGCAATAGAATCCTCAATATTTTGAGCAGCAATACGGCAACATTTAATCGCATAAAATATACCGTGGATTAAACCAAGGTCCGGTTGTATCAAGCCCGTTTAGCTTAAACGGTAGTTAAGCTCAAAATAGAAAACAAGTCTATACACTCATTCAACAACCAAACTAAAAGTTTTGAGCCTTAATAGAACGATAATGTTTACAACTACATATTCAGTGCACAATATTTAAGTTGACTGATTCACGAGAGATATAAGAGTGTTATTTAATTTTGACTTATCCACCGTTTAAGCTAAACCAGCTTGATATAACTGGTCCCAAATGAGGAGAAAAATTTGGCTCAAAATAACTCCACCGTCGATAAACTCCCTGAAATTAAGAGTGAATTTAGTAGTTTAGGCGTATTTGAACATTTTGTCAGCCTGAATGAAGTATTTCTTAAAATAATTAAAAATCCCATACCACTTGTTGTCCACATTTTATGTGTCAAGATATGGAGGCCAATCTACATCCACGGACTAGAAATATAAAATATTTAAATCATGATACTGTACCGAACTCTATCCTCAAAATTCAAGAGCCGCGCTGTTTGTGAGTTAGGAACAGGGTTAGGTTACACAGAGTATATACAACACAGAGGTGCAACTCAGCAAAAAACCGTAACCGCCACCAAGTGGTCGAGACACTTGTCCCCCCCTGAACGTCTAAGCCAAGCATGCCATTTTCAATGTTTTCACGGGGGTGACGACTGACGATCTCTACTTAGGGGTGGACCATTAAAAAATGATGGGGGTCGAGGGGGGATTTTCAGCTTGCACGAATTTTTTTCGACCGTCTGCTTTTGCTAAAATTCCTTTGAGGAGGTATTTTTCTTTTCTTTCCCTTTTTACACGATTTTTTTTTGTTTCCCTCACTTTTCTAATAATCCGCCATCAAAGGTGCCGATACGAACTCGGACTTCTGTAAGTCTCCATTCTGTGGTAAGTATTAGGGTCAGCATTCACAAACAGCGAATCTATATTCTCAAAATTCATTCTTGACATACCGCCACATCGAGCTCTAGTATATCTGTTTCTTTCTTCATTATGGTTGACAAGTTTGGTTGTGTCCTTCCAAAATCTCCGTGGACAAATTCCTTTATGTATCTACGTTTTGTGGTTAACGAAAAATTTTAAATGTGAAAAAGTTTACGTTGGTCAACCAACACTTTCTCTTGTAAATAGATTTTGGTTTCTTTCGTGCTTTCTCAGTGTCGTTGAAGTTGAAGTTGAACTATGTGGACCAACGTCTTGTACAAAATTGGCTCAAGCGAAATTAATTGTGCTGTAAAGTTGAATATCACTGATAAAATTATTTCTCCCAACTGGGAATTAAACCCGAAGTTGAACCACAGAGTATAGAAAATCCAGAAGTCCGACTTCTTGTCGGCGCCTTTAAAGTCTGCGTAACATTTTTCACCCTCACCCTCCCCCCACGCTCAATAATATTCTTTAACAGTCGAACGTCTGTATAGTCTATACTCTGTGGTCGAGCGCTCTGACTCTGGCAACTGTGACTTGCGTTACCCCATTGAGACACTAAGACCATGCATTGGTGAGAAAATGAGGATGCTGGAAAACACTTTACAGTGTAATACGGAATACATGATTTAAATACACGCAATATACAAAGAATACAAGCCAGTTTTACTTAATTTAAGAAGGATACGTGCCAGCCTCGCTACATAACCGAAGTGTAAAATGGTTGTTGTCGATGTATTCTGTAGACATGGATAAAATCTTCCGCTGACGAACTGCCAAGGGACGTCTAGGGACAAGAGAGTACAAAAAATAAACTAACGACCAAGCTCGTACCCAGACTCACTCCTCTACGCTCCTACTTCTCTGGGTACAAGGTTTAGGAACAATGCAAGTTCTACTAGACTTATGTATATTGAATAACCAAATTTCAAATTACTTTTCTAAATACATGATATATTACCTGTGCAAGACTCTCATTGGTGTTTTTTGATCAAGTGTAATTTCCTTAAAAAGAATAGGTTAATATAACAATAAACTTCAGTCTGCCATTTACAGCGATACATGCAAATAAAAAATGAATTGCCTTGATGCCGGTGATGAGGGTCGGCAGGAGAGGTGATTGCTTATTAAACAATAAAGTATCTCACTCACTTTAGAATGATTCAATGGCACCAATTCGTCTTCGCTGATTCCTTCAGGAACGTACACTAAGGCACTATAGATACGGTAAAAAGCGCAAGAAAAATTGTTCGTTACTAGACCGTGACCACGCCATGACGTTCAAATATAAAAATCTAAGAAAACGATACCTGTATGTCTTTGTTTTGCTGTTTTCTGCTTCTTTCAACTTTGAACAATCCTCCCTGGCAGACAAAAATATAATTCTTAAAACACTACTAAAAAATTTCACAATGTGTGCGCTCAAGGCTATGTGTTAGTCTAGTGCTACCTAAGATCATAAGAAGAAATCTTTAAAAGCCCATTTACACTACACAACTTTTGCCTAAAACTGTCGCATGCAACCTGCTTACAACTTGAGTTGCACTGTGTAAATCAAACACACAACTCGACTACGTTGTCGTATATGAGTTGTGTGCTTGATTTACACAGTACAACTCAAGTTGTAAGCAGGTTGCATGCGACAGTTTTAGGCAAAGGTCGCGTAGTATAAATTGGCCTTGATATTCATCATTCAACATGTGTTAACCTTGTAATCTTTTGTAAATCTCTAATCTTTATATCTTCTGTCGATGAGTTCACCCGCGCCTGCAGTTCTTTTATTTGTTCAACAGTTTGCGCTACTTTACGCGGATTGATCAGTTCCAAGATGAATGGTCGTCCTGCATGAAAGTTTAAAACTTCGTCTTTACGTTTGAATTAACAAATCATTCGTTCAAATCTTGCACAACATCGTTTATTCTTAATAAGCCCCGTTCAGACGAGTCTAACATCGTCCAAACATTGTCTGTCCAACAATGCAATGTTGGATAATGTTGAATGAAAATTTTAAACAAAGTCAAAATCGATCAGTACCAGCCAATACTACCCAACATGATAGTGTTCAAACCAGCAGGAGTGCTTTATCAGATATAAAACACGAGGCGAGTGTTCAAACTTGCTTACCGTTACCGAGCATGCGTACATCGACATCTTCTCGACCTGCTGAAGAAAACTTTGTATCTGAAAAGAGAAATTTTAGTTCAATTTTTAGACCAGTTAACAGTGGCGGCGGAACGGGGGGGGGCTAGGGGAGCTTAGCCCCCAAAAATAAAAGGGGGGTTAGTGTTTTTACCCTCCCCTCCAAAAAAAAACCACAAAACAAACCAACAAAACAACAAACAAACAACAAAACAACTGTTCCGCCGCCACTGCCAGTTAACACGATCAGTTCGACAGCAAACAACGTGTCACGTGAATTTCAAAGTCCAGCTATGCCCGCAAGCCACTAACCGTCAGGTAGGAAAACTTTCTTTATTTCCAACGATATCCATTCCTAGAGTCAAAGGAAAACGATTACTGGAAACGTCGCGCGTGTTCTTCTCGCATGAACTACAATCGTGCAAATATGAAAAAAACTTGTAAGTATCGAGCAAATGTATTAATTTGAGAGTCTGTAGATTGAAAAACAGCCCTTATAAGAATCGCTAGGTGTATCTTAATAAAGGTAGGATCATAAAAATCAGTTAAAATAGAATTGGCACGAAAACTGGAAGGAATATTCTGACTCCACTATGAATTCCATATGAACGACTACGTACAGTCCCATGCAGTACGAATAGCCACGTTGTACTGGAAATGGTGTACAAGAATATCTACTGTTCGTTTCAAAGTAAAATAGCACTGTTTCTACCTCTACTGAATTTTCTGTCATTCGCTCGCCATCGATTATCCACGGTGACTGCGATAACACGCGTGAGTATTTGTTATAACGACCTGAAAAACACATCAAGAATTAACGTTTTCATCTTTTTACTGCACATGAAGAAGAAAATACAAAATAACAGTAAGTCAGGAACTCAGAATAACATTTTGATTTTTAATCGACGTTTCGACTAGTTTGTATAGTCATCTTCAGGATTAATAAATTATTATTCTTGAGGATGACTACAAACTAGTCGAAACGTCGATTAAAAATATTATTTTGCATTTTCGTAAAGTACTGAGTGGTTCCCGCAATTATTGATGCAGAAGAACGTGCCATATTCTAATACACGACTTCTATCCAATAAACACATTTCTCTAATTAACGCCGTTTCCAAAAAAGTACTTAAACATATGGCAGAGAGTTACTTGAACACAACGCATATTTTAACATATATACTGGGGGGGCATTTGACTCTCCAGGGTCAAATGGTTTTTTTTTTCATTTGACTTCTCCCTAACCTTACCCCGAGTTACCTAAATCTTACTCTGGGGAGCCCACACAATGGGCACTAATCTTGGTTACACCCTTCACTGTAAAACGTTTAAAATATACACTGCTCAATTGAACAAATGCGTACATACAGTACTCATATAACGAACACTCAATGCTGACAAACCTGCAAGGTACACTGAAGCGTTATTACATTCAACTTTTGTAACCTCACAGTATGTCTTAACAACGTTAGGAGGACATTGACCAACTCTGGAAAAGATAAATGTAAGAATCAGACAAGCACCGAAGTTCAAGGTTGTTAAAATCATCCAGTGTGTACCCTAGGCCAGTGATGAACAATATACTCGAGGGGGCGGTTGTTCGAAACACGATCAGCTTAACCCTAGGTTAACTTAAGTTTCAAAGCAAACTTCACAACAGCTTGTTTATAAATTTGGAAATATTTCTTCAGAAATCTTGTTTGGATGAAGGGAAATTTTATTTTCCGAATTTCTGAGATAAACAGACGTGCAATGGATACACAAGCAAGACAGCAGGTTAACTTTTAACCCAGGGTTAGAGCTAATCCACCTTTGAACAACCGGACCCAGGGATTAAAGATCAAAGTAGTCATCAAACTGAAAAATATTTTGACAAGAACCTCGAAGTATCGAGCGAAGGCCCTTACACTTTCGTCTGAACGTCAGTATAGCGGTGTTGGTTTTTTTTCATGTTGAATGCAAGCCATTAATAACGTGTAACTTTTTGTAAAACAGTAGAAGAACGTATCTTTATTTACCTATTAAACTCTTCACATGTTTTAAGGCTTTTGATACATTTCGCGAGTTGTGCAGAAGTAACTGTTGGCTCATTTTCCAAAACCTACCGGTGGAAAAGATAACATCAAAACATTTATTTCATTCAAGTTCACTTTTGATTTGACGAACTCTGTGTCACGTGACAAAGACTCAAGATTGCCCAAAATTTCAGGCGTTTCTTCTTCATAGAGATACGGTGGACGGGAACGGGAATGATAGTAAAGAGAAGTTGTCGTGCATTATCATTCAGGTTTTATGTTTGAGAAGATTATTATTATTGTTGCCGGTAAACTTTATTGGACAGTGAAACAAGACATACCAAACGGCACGAGTGCAAACGGGACTCGAAGTCCCATGCGAGGCACTCTACCTTTTTTTACAAATTAATTAAATTACAAAATTACTATTACTATACTGCAACCAAAATAAACATATGCCAATTGCTTGAAGCTCATGCAGACGTATTTACGTTTTGATTTTTATACTTTAGCGCTGAACCAATTTGCTGAATATCACCTCTCCGGCATCTTGAAATGAAGGGGTTGTATACAAGACATAAAAATGTGAACGTTTAGAAACTATTCATTTCTTTTCTTGAATATTATGAATTTCAATGTATTCTTAGCCGTCGTCATGTGTGAAGAGGAACGTGTACCAGAAGACTATTCTCAACACTAAAAGCCACAGCATAACACAAGCCTTGTACCTTCTTCCTTTTTCTGGGATGGCACTTGAGTTCTCTCTTTTCTGCTGCCCTGGAAGATTATAAACAATTGATATTTTGGGACATGCATTTCAAAGACTTGTGTAAAAATTGGTGTATTATCCACAGGTTGAAAATACTTACAGAAAATCTAGTTCTTGCATAGCTTCAAGATGATTGAGCATTACAGAAATTGTGAATGGACTCTGTATATAAAACACAAAGTACAGTGCTCATTGTTCACACCAGTGGCAATGCCAAAGTGGAAATAGAAGGTCTACAGGCATGCAATATTAAGTCTCTGAAATGTAATTTCCTGCACTTTGGGTTAAGATTTTAGCAACATTCTTGACTACACAAAATGTAGTATAAAATCTCACACGAAAATAAATTTCTGCACTTCAAAATGATTACTACTACATATTAAAGTTTAAGTCCTTTTTTACAGTTCAATGATATATTGAGAGGCATACATTACAATGTCTGGTATGTGTTTTATGAAACTCAACCTCCCATTGATTTCTTGACAAATTTGCAGAAACTAAAACATCTTAGACTTCACCCTGTGATGACCAAAGATAGTGATGTCACTGCTTTACACTATCAAGTGACAGATGATGCATCTTGACACACATGACATAACTCATACACTGTTCGAACTAATTCTAAAATGAATTTTCTGAGATTATAAAGAATTAGTGTGCTAGCTATTATACCATTTTATCAAATTCAGTGTCCAAGTTTTGTTCCAATTGAGGACCGTACACAAACTTGAAACAATCCTTAAGATGTAGAATATCATCAAGCTTTATCTGCTCTGGGTAAATTGAACTATATTAAAAAATTAAGTTAATGTCAATACTTATGATGGTTTACAGCTTACACTGTTAGTTTACCACTGACACTGTTCATCCTCCTTAACATGCACATGTACCTGAAATTTTCTTGAAGATACAACCACATGGAGTGCTAAACAAAATAAAGAGAAAGGATGATTGACATTGTAGAATTTAATAAAGATGAGAATTTTCCAAAATTCTATAAAAATAGGTACACAATGCGTACATGTAAAATGTACAATTTTGTCAACAACAATTTTGAATTTTTTTCTAAATTGTTTACTAATTTATTAACAGCAAAATTTCCCCTGAATAGTTAAAAACAGGTACGCATTGCGTACATGTATTCATTATGGACTAGTTTAGGGCTTTCATTCAGGCTTTTGGTGACCATCAAACCTAGCCATTCAAAAACACAATGGCATGGCCAAAAATATGATTGCCAGATACTCATATTACAACAACTTTTGAAATGTATATATCAAAACTATTGAAATATATATATATTACTATATAGCTATGTAAACTCATAAATCAGCATCTCAAAAATTTTAGAAATATAATAGTAAAAGTTTGCAAGTTGCTATTTAACTGTGATTGAAAACTGGTCTTCTAAACTGTAATGTTGCCAAAGTGGCTGTCTATAGGACACTAGATAATTGCCTGCTTTGTTACTTACATGACGGAAGGTTAGCACAAGAGGGAAATAGACTGATGTTGTAAAATTGAAGTATTCATGTTCTGATGACTTGACAACATCACAAATCTGTGGTAAAAACATCAAAATTAAAACATTAATGTTTCCCAATGTTTATTTGACATTTTGATGAAAACATAATCACTTCATAACAGAAATTACCAAAACAAAAGCTGACGCTACACAGTGCTGAGTGACTGTAGAATAAAAACAAATCTGTGGGAAGAGTATTGACAAGACAGACTAGTATCTTTACATGTACCACAATTAAGCCCTTAGCCCTAGTCGAGGACGAGAGTTGAGAAGAAGGGAGAGTTTGCACGAGAGTTCCTCTCAACTCTCATGCTGTGGTCAAACAAGAGCAAGAGTTGCATGAAAGTTGATGAGAGTTTACTGGATATTACAACAGGCATTGCCAAAGCTCTCATCAAAAGTTGAACCAATTCAAAGTTGATGGGAGTGCATTAGAGTCAATGAGAGTTTGCGAGGGTTTTATATGAAATCTGTAGTAATATGTTAATATATAATAACCTGTTTGACCAAAGTAGACTTAGAATGTGGTTGTAGTAGCCCAAGACATGTAACACAAATGACATCACCAGGATTTGGCTGACTTCCTATGCTTGGTGAGTAACCATACTCGTGCAGCACACGATTCACAATTCCCTAAAAGATGTGAAAATATATTGTACAGGGTGCAATAATTAAGAATTTTTAAGGCCCCATGTACATGATACAATGTAAAGATGCCACATTTCAAATTTTGCCACAAGTGCTCTGAACAGGAATAGTGGCGTGAGCTGTTGTTTTCATATGCCAGAATGACAATCGTATACGGCTAGTTGTATCATGTAAATGGGCATTTAGTTGTACCATACTGGACTACTGGTACTCTAATGGTTATCACCTCATACCCAAGTACATAAATGATTGCACCCTGTTGTATAAACTGTGAAAAATGTAGTTGGTGGGAATCCCATGCTCTGATTTTACCCAGACTGACAACGCTTATAGTCTTAAATATTAGGCTATTTAATATGGAAAACAATTTTTATTATTCTGTGATCTAGAACACTAAAAAGTAGACATACTTGATAAGGTTTAGCAAACAACACAGCTCCATCTTGTACACCTACGTATCTGAGCACACACCGTGCACAACACTGCAACTCATACAACCTTTTTACAACTTCCGACAACCCAGAACAATTACTCGACATATTTCACAATATATTTGTCTATTTACACAATGTTCACTCTATCTTTGACTCGTTTTTAGGTTAAATTTTGATGAAATATTTAGCACGTGCAAAATTTTGAACTTTTTAATTAAATATAGTTGAAAGGTTGGTACTTCATGTTATTATGTCCCCACACTGGTCTCAAAACTGGACTGGATTGAGGATACTTTAAGCTTTGAGATATAATCTTCAAACTATTTTATTACCATTTATTTGCGATTATTTACAAAAAATATGCTAAAAATGTTAGATACATGACATAGATATCATAAATAAGAGGTTGTATATAACTTATATTATGTTTTTATCAGCTTTTACATACAGTTGCTGTACTGTCTAAGATAGTGTATACATATAATTTATATCTACATGTTAGAAACATACATCTGTATATGTTAAAAAGTTTACCATTGTCTATTAAATTAAATAATTCCCTAAATCCAATAATCTAAACCTCTAAGATTTTATCTGGTGATTTTTTTCTTTCGCAACCTTCCAGCGATTTTAGTCTTCCATTTTGCTCCTTACTCCATGCCACTGACAATGTGTTGTTCTCAAATGTGTCCAAATGTATCGAGTCAATTACAGTCTCATCTAGCTTCAATTCCTTGCTTGGTGTTGCAAGCATTGAATCGAACGAACTTGGAAGTTTTCTCTTGCTAAAAAGTGTTCTGTGCAATTCATTGTCTTGCATTTTTAACTTCATTTTCGCAACAGCGTTGAATCGTTGGAACTTTTCTTTCTGCTCTGAAAGCAACTAGAATAAAAATAAAAATATTTTATATTTCTAACATATTGCACAAGTATTAATTGTGTATAATTTTAAATTACATATATAACAGAAATACCAAATGAAGTCTAATTAGAACAAATAGAAAAAATAATTTGTAATGCATACCTTGGAAAATTGAGTGTGGTCTTCACAAGCAGGCTTTAACCTTGGCCAGCTACTGTCACATTCTAAACATTAAAAAATTATTAGTAATACATTATAAAACAATATCAACATGAGAAATAGTTACTATTAAAGGACAATAAAAACAGTATTTTTGTAATATCTACCGGTCATGTCAAATTTTGCTTCAGGGTCAGAGTTTGCAGCATCATTCTCTTCTTCTCTAACCTTATCTTTAAGCTTTTGCTGTTGAGAATTATAAGCCAAATATCAAAATTAATATTGAAGAAGCCAATAGAACAATTATCAAGTGTTGAAGTTTAATGTTTGGATCTAAAGATGAACAGTCATAATTTGATAAAAAATGCCTTTTTACTAACATGAAACTTTATTTAAAGTTTGTTCGTTCACCGCAACCAGGTATATCAATCATGTTTCGCTCGCTACTCTGGTTTAAATAGCCACAATTGAAATTTCAGATCACCCCTGATGAAGACACCAGACTGGAGTGTTGAAACGTTGGGTCTTGATTACAATTCAACTGGGCTTTGTAATCATTTATTTAAACCAGAGTAGCAAGCAAAACATGATGAAACTTTATGTTTGTCAAAAGCATATGAAGGTTTCAATCAGCTCAGCCAATTATGTTCAACTAGCATCATGCTGATTGGCTGAGCTAATCTGCTAATTGCAACATTCCAATACTTGTTACAAAAATTAAAGTTTCACATGAGAATAGACAATGTTTTCATCTGGGACTGTTTGTCCTTCAGTCCTACCATACCAAATTCATCAATTCAGCATCATATTTCGTACGAAGACTTTCTTTGATCTTCTGTGGATAAGCTTTTCGTTTCTTTATCGTACACGTAAGAAGCTCTTCAGATTTTGCACACATGTCGTTGACTTCTTTCGCTCTTCCTTTGTCCAATGGTTCCATTTCTAAATAATTTAATCAGTTATCAAATATTGTAGATCCATTTAATTCGAAGCTGCTGAGGAATGTTTTATATAAATATAAAATATATCACCAATACTAGTTACATACCTTGTTTGACTTTGCCAGTTGAGGTAGGAGTTTGTCCTTGATTGACAGCAACATTTTCTCTAAGTGCCAGCTCGACTGTTTCCTTATAAAGCTGCAGAAAAATTTGCATTCGATATATCATATATTATTAAAAATCATATAAACTTTAATATGTAGTCACCACCCACTCCACCCAGTGATCTTTCAAAATCTATACCTTTAATAATCCACTTATAAAATCATCTGTTTCGTTTTCATCCCAGCCTTTCTTCTTTGCCTTCTTTTTAATATCATCCTTGAGTTCCCTGTGTAAAATTGGCAGTATTTTGGAATCTGCGCTGATTTTTTCATCCGCCATATTTAAAATTTTCAAATTTCGACTTTTCACTTTTTTGCTACTACGCGTGCGCATTGCTGTGTGCTTCCACATGCATGATTGATGATTCTCAATTTTGGAAGCTTTTGGAATCTTTTGGCTAAAATTTTAAAAGTGTAAAAATAAAAAAAAAACATGAAATGAATTGTTTTGTGAATTGAAATACACGATTTTTAGACAAACAATACATATATTAACAAATCTGGGGCAATTCCCCAGCTTAGGTATCCAATTTAAGATATTCAAATTAGTTACTCGAGCTGTATTAAATAGACTTTTTTAACCGAATATTATTCGCAAATAGCCAACGTTCCAACGTGTAACCTTCCAAAAATTAAGCTCAGTATTATTCAGTATCATTGGAATTTCATGAATGTGGTGTTTTCAAACTGAAACTTAGAACTGAAAGTGAACTGAAACTATAAACTAAAGTGGAAACATTGTCGCAGGTACGATAGGTTACGAAGTCGGCACGGCTATTTTACGAGGTGAACACCGAACACGACAAAATCCCGAGACGGACCATATGGACAAGATGGAGGGAAACAAGGTTTGAAAATTGCCGATTTTAGGGTGATATTTCTCTTATTTCTGTACTGATTTTCAAATTATTGATATTTCAAAGGAGAAAGCAATCCTACCACTGGACTATGACGATGATGATAGCTCAGACGAGGAGGAAGACGAAGAAATCTTTGACAACAGGTATAGATCATGTCGTCTGGTCGGACACGTCTCTCAAAACCACCTTGTTGTTTCTCATGAGTGCTTCATGCTTCTTGTTTGTAGATTGCCTATGTAGGTGCAGAAAAACGTAAAGTTGATGTAGCTCTTGCTTTTCCACGTATTGTGTTTGCAAACAAATGTAAATTTCTCCTGTTCTCCATGCTTTTTATAGCGTTTATATATAAAGCCGCAAATAATATTTGAAATGTGATATTCACAAATGAGAACACAGGACATAACTCCCAGGAGACATGATTCAATCGTGTGATTGTTCCAGCTTCACATTAAATGAACTTTGCATATATTTGTGTAATTATTATTATTTATAATTATCAACAATTCAGCATAGTATTTTATTATGCAAAAAAATTTTAACCCTCAATTTTAACCAGTAAAATTTGATGGTCAAAAACTGAAAAGATTGGCTGCAGATGTGGGGAATAAAAAAAAACAACACTCTGTGCAAAAATCCAAAATCACAAATGTGAGAAAATTTGCTAAATTCAGGGTGTCAGGCAGAAAAAAAGGTTTTGTCCGTTAAACGTAAATTGGGAAAGTTTTTTTGACCGATCAAAGTCCTTGTGTAGGAATAAATAGTGTTTTTTTCCAACGTGTTTCTTTTTAGATGCAAACAACGGTAGCTTGGTTTTTTACATTTCAGTTCCGGTGAATGAACACTGAAAAATGCATCCGAAGGCACTTTGTTTTGTATATTTCATTTCCGGTGAATGAACACGGATGCACACCGATTACACTTTGTTTTGTACATTTCATTTCAGTGAATACACACCCAATATGAATGAAACATGATACATTTTGAGAAAATAGTTAATGGGAAAATGTAAATAAAACGTTCTTTGATAGAATAATATAAAATCAAACGCAATGCACTTTCTCATCAGAAAAAATGAAAATCTTCCAGTAGACCCAGTTGGGAAAGCCCCTTAGCTACTTCAATTGGGAAGAGTCCGTCATATGGACAGTGTATGGGCTGGCTAACACCCTGGGTGTCACCCTTGTGATGTCAAATATTCAACACCCATTCATTTTTTGATGTTCAATATCTTGGCACAGAGTATATACCATACATAAATAGGACCATGTAAAAATCCATGACTGGCTGCCATGCACTATTAAACAAGAAGCACTCCTTGCCAGTGCCCTAATGAGGCACTAACCCCCTCCTCCCCTGGCAAGTCTAAAACAGGTCTGCCATTGTGAATATGTCCAGGGGGGTGACAACCTCTCCCTCATGCATTGGCTAGAAAAGGAACATGGCAGCTGGTTATGCTGACGTTAAACATGCCGACAAAAAGTCAGATGATCTCAGTTTGCACAAAACAGCTATGCATGATAACATGCTGAACATTTAATATAATCCCATGTTGGCCAACAGAGCTCAGTTCAAGATTACATTATAAGATTCACACATGAACAAGTAGCTTCTGAATCAATGAAGATTTCTTGTGGTACATTACTAAAATGTATGTTGAGAAAATTGACTGGCTTTTTTACCAATGTGGTTTTCCAATAAGGAAAGGCATTGTAGAATGTTTTGATAAGGTAAGTTTTTCCTCAGTTAATTTAAGAAAAGTATTTTAATTAATGTCAGATCATTAATGTTATAAATGTAATGTAACAATTCATAATAATAAAAGTAATAAGAGAGTTTAGTGGACATTCATCATTAATAAATTTGCTGATGAAGTGAGTCATGATTTTTGTTGTATTAATTTATTTCTGTACTTTTCTGTGTACAAACTAACATAATCTCGAGATGTCTGGATTATTATCATTCATGGTGAATCTCGGGATGTCTGGATTATTAACGTTCATCATTCATTGTGAATCTCGATTTGTTGTTTTATTAGCATTCATCATTCATGGTTAATCTCGAGATGTTTGGATTGTTAACATGCATCATTCATTTCTCTAGTAAAGTTGATTGGCGAGTGAAAGGGAATCTTCTTCGAGGAAAAGAGTTTACGGTTTCAGAAAATGGCAACTGCCCAAGATGTCAGAGCACTGTTATAGTTTTTGTAATCCTAGATGAGTATGTTCATAATCACTTGGAATAAAATCATTATGTTAATAATTATAATATTATGTTTGTGATGTTACTCTGAGTGCATATCCACACCGGGCAAGCTTGAAAAATATGCCTGACCACGGTGGGAATCAAACCTACGACCTTTGGAATAGTAGCTCAGTTGGTAGAGCATTGGGCTAGGATTCCAAAGGTCGTAGGTTTGATTCCCACAGTGGGCAGGCATATTTTTCAAGCTTGTCTGGGATGTGGATATAGACTCAGAGTAACATTGCAAACATCATATCCACCTTAGTACATTGCACCAACACACACAAATCACAATTATAATATAACCATTTTTCAATTGTACAAATTGCATTTGTGGTAATAACTACCTGTATTCCATAAATTTTGCACTTACCATTCCACAGTAATTGTTCTAAATTATGTCTTTACCTTTTAAGGACACCTCTCTACTTGGTTGTTTTGTCAAATGATGACCCCAAAGTGATTTTTACATGTTTGAACACATGCCCAAATTTCACTTGAACAATTTCTAGGTTATTTCCGATGGGTGATATGCCTGAAATTTTATACAATCTTCTTGCAAAAGGAAAGGCAGTGTTGTGGTCTAGCCAAGATAAACAGTCTTGTAAAGTAAGCTGGATTTGGTTGTTTATAACATTCTGTTTGCAAGAAAACAATTGTTTGTTTGTTTGTTATTCCATTATTTTCTGTGTATTTCTCGAAAATTCATCTTGCATGCATTTCTGCTTCAGAAATCTCCAACATTCATGTGTAGAGGTTTTTGCCCACCAGATCCACTTGGAGCAGGATTCAACATTAATTGGGACACAGTAAATTTAACCAAATTACTCAAAGACTTGTTGAAACTGGTAGGTATTTTCACCACACTAATAAAAGGTACCAAACATTACCATAATAAACAAGTGCAAACAATCTGTAGATTATATAAATTTTTAATTTCATTAACATTTTATGAGTTACTGGTTTAGACTATTCACAAAAGTACCAGTATATAGTACAATTTTCACAAAATTACAATGTAAAGATTCGAGTTTGTACTTCTCAAATTTTGTAGTGTTTTACCATTACTGAGTATTGTTGCAATTTAATTAAATGTGTAACACATGTGACCTTTGCTATAAACTGACAATATTGCTTGTTTTTTCTCCTCAAATTTTCCAAAGAACACAGCCAAAGCTCAAAAAAAGCTGCAGGAAGGTGAAAAAGGTATTCTTCTGGAAGATATTTGTGTAAAAATCTGTATCCAAAAGTACCATATGATACTTCCCTTGTATTTTATACCATGTACAAATTTGGCTGGTTATATATTCACAGTCACAAGATTCTTGTTTAAACTTTGTTCTTATCTTATATCTTTGCTAGGTGAGGAAACATTTAACATGAAATTTGAAAGACGAGTACAGTATATATATTAAATAGGGACACAATCGTGTACAAGAACGTAAATAATAGTTGCATTAGGAAAGCTGAACTTAGGTATGAAATTTTTGAACGGTTGAAGTTGAATTTTTGAACGGTTCAAGTTGATCAAGGTAACTACTGTATATATATATCGTATTTTCCATAATTTCTTAAATAGAGATATTGCAGTGGCATTAGGTTTATTTACAGACCTTACTGTATGAATTTTAACAAGCAATTTTGGCCATCCGTCATCTTAGGATGAGCTAAAAGTTAAACTAAAATGAAAATGCGTGTCCTGCCTACGGTCAGGGTCTAAAGTAATTAAATATAGTCATGGACAATGGACATGTATTATTCAATCCATTTCGGTCATTCAAAGAGTTCAAGACTAAGCTAAAGCTATATAGACTATAGTAAATAATATGGTCTATGGACATGTATTATTCCATGTCGATCATTCAAAGAGTTCAAGACTAAGCTAAAGCTAACTTAATGAATTTTATATTCATACAGATATTTTTTACTTGCCACTATTCTATAATTCTACGTATTATTCAACAACCACACCAGTAACAACTTTAACAACTGTAACCACAGCAACAACAGTGAAACAATGATCACGTTGGAACTTTGCGCAATTACATGTACGCTTAGCGCACCTATTTTTACTTGTGTAGCAGAAGGGAACGAAGGTGAAGACGAGGATGTGAACGAAAAGGACATCATCAAAGCCATGTTGGCGAAGGAGCAAGAGAAAGAGGACACGGAAGAACCGCTTCACGGACCTTTGAAAGAAGACGAAACTCCGAAATCAACATCTTCGGAAACTGTCGTAACCACCTCAACTACTCCCGTCACATCTTCGTCGGCTACTTCTGCTGCAAGCTACCCTGTTTCTAAGGACGGTTCATGCCCGCATTGCGGGTCATCTGCTGTAAGGTACATCATCTTAATCAAGGACTCGACCAAGGATATAACACTGCCACCAACACTAGACAAATTACTGAAGATGGGCAAAGCTTTCAAAATGGCCAAGGGTAAGTCAAAGTTGACTGTAACATACTCAATTATAACGTATATATACATGTATTCAGTTTCATTGCACTTCTTACCTCATTTCTTTAGATTTCTCTACTAAATTTATGTATTTCACTAATTAAACATTTTCTAAGCGCAAGAGTGAAAGACTAAATTACTAAAGAACAAATTTATGGCGTACTTCCACACACGAAAGTTAATACTAGTTGGTTTACCATAGACACAAACATCTCGGAAATATACATATGCTACAATTGATCGGTTTACCTAAAAATGTTTGCTTTCATATATTGAACGATGCCTAAGTTTTAGTGTCCTAGATAAGTTTTTGACTTGCTCCAGGTCGAACTCTACTAAGCTTTGTCATCTCGATGGCTTGGTTGAGAAATGTAATCAGAAGCACAACCGGGCGAACGCGAGCGACAAAGTCGCAAATACCTTCCTCGAAAATTCCTTTGTTTTTGTTGCTAATTATATCAACAAAGACGAAGAACTTTGCGATCAGTTAGTATAACGCTTTATGGAGTCATTTGCGCTGCATGGTGACAATACGAATGCGCCTTTTACGAAGAATTTAGGGTGAAAAATATGGTGTAAGATGTGAACGGTAAGGTTTATCGTATGCATGTAATGTATACGTTTATCGCATATAACCATTGTGCACAATTTTCTATTGTCTTGAACGTATTCATTGTCTGCACAGCGTTATTTATGTATTACCTTTCCCAGGTGCAAACAGTCCTCCGTCGTTTCAATGTTGTTCATGTACGTATGGCTTCAACTTGGACTGGTCTAAAACAAATCTTAAAAAGATCTTCAATCTCGAGAATGAAACAACATCGAGTAGCACGGCAACGACGTCAACAACAGCAACCAGCAGCAGTAGTAGTACAGCAGTATCCTCTACAACATACCAGAATTACACAGCTACGTCATATCCAGCTACTTCTTATCAGACGTGAGTTCATTTAAGCCGGTTACAGACGAGCAAGTTTTCTATGACAAGTTTTTATGTGACAAGATTTATTTGCCAAATGCACTTGTGTATATGCAACAAATTTTATATGACAAGTTTTCATATGACAAGTTTTACTTACTGGTGTGAACGTGTCAACAAGTTTACTTTGACAATTTATTAGTAGCCAGCTGGTCAATCAAATGCTCAGATTACTTTGACAAGTTTTCTTTGTTGACCCATCAAACGAACAAAATTTGTACTTTGACAATTTTTTCTATGACAAGTGCACTTGTTCAAAAGCTAGTATGCTAGCTTTTGAACAAGTGCACTTGTCATAGAAAAAAATGTCAAACTTGCGCGTACAGACGAGCAAATAAAACTTGTCACATAAAAACTTGTCATAGAAAACTTGCTCGTCTGTAACCGGCTTTATAGAGAGTGTACACCCATTCTTGTTCCATAGCTCGCGGGTAGAACCCTGCAGATGTTTCTTCTTTCCAATGAATAGCGGTTTTGAGAGCCAACGAGAGTTCGTTTTAAGGTCAACTGCGTCTGTATGACCTGTGCTAATTTCACAGACTATAGAACAAGAACAATAGTAAATAAGGCCCGTGTTTCAGACGGCGTACTCTTCATGTGCCGAACTTAATTATATTAGATTCAAGGTTGGGGCACATCGCGAGCGAAACCTAAATAAATAAACAAACAAACAAACAAACAAACAAACAAACAAACAAACAAACAAACAAACAAACAAACAAACAAACAAAAACAAACAAACAACCTAAACCAAAATAACATTCAAAACAAATAAGTCTATTTTTAAATTACAAGATGGCTAATCTAATACTAGAACAAATTTTAAAAAGTTGAGTTAGGTTTGGCATATGAGTGGAGCGGCGTATGAATCAATGTCACTCCAACGTCGCATAATGCGAGATTCTGCCGAACCTTTGTCGAACTTTTGTCGCTCCAAATTCGGGCATATTTAATTGATTCATATGTCGCTCTTCTGTCGTACATAATTCGTCAAATAACAATGCATGAAGCGTACGCCGTCTGGAACGGGCCTGGAAAAGATTAAACCATGGTTCGTAGTCTCCAAGACCAAAAAATCACAGACTTCCAAAAATCTGTCAGCGTATTTTCAAAGACTGTTCAAACACCTTTGCAATCAGCTTTTGAAAAATTGCGATGTATAAGCGCTATTTTCATCCGGCATTTCAGCAAAAAGGTCGGGTCAAATTAAATCACATCCTAAAATGCGCCTGTAGATATCAAATACTCGCTAATGAATTTAAAGACTTTCGCTTTTTCATATAATTCCAAGATTTTTCAAAGACCTTAAAAACCTACATTCAAATTGAAAGACTTTCAAGGATTTCAAAGATCGCTACGAAACATGTAAAAATACTTCGACGAACTTTCGTCAACAAAGGGTACATTGGAGCTAGTTACATCTGAGATAAACCTAACCAACTATTGCTTTTTATTTCCAGTTCCAGTTACAACTCGTACACATACACCCAACCTCCTCCCATGGCTTACCCTGCACCTGTGCCATACAGCTACCCAAGCCCTGCACCTTTGATGGCACAACCAATGACGAGTATGATGCCTCCACCCCCTATGGGCGGTATGGCACCCCCACCCTATGGTGCCCCAATGCCATATCTCGGAGCACCACCCCCACAGCCGTATCCGGGCATGCCTCTTCAACCCTATGGCCCCACTCCACCACCTGGACCTTTCATGTGCCCACCACAACCCTACCCTGGAGCTCTACAAAACCAATTTGGGCCAATCCCACCGGGAAATATGCCACCCCCGGTGTCTACTTTTCAACCACCAACGAGTACAGCCCCAATGTACGGCATGCAACCAATCATGTCGGGAAATATGAACTTTGGCGGCAATATTAGAGGAAATATGGCTGGTAATATGCAAGGAAACATTCCTGGAATTATGTCCATCAACATCCCTGGACCCATGCAAGGACCTGGTCCCATCATGCAAGGACCTGGACCCATGCAAGTACCCCGCATGCAAGGACCTGGACCCATGCAAGGACCTGGACCCATGCAAGTACCTGGACCCATGCAAGGACCTGGACCCATGCAAGGACCTGGACCCATGCAAGTACCTGGCCTCATGCAAGGACCTGGACCCATGCAAGTACCTGGCCTCATGCAAGGACCTGGACCCATGCAAGTACCTGGCCTCATGCAAGGACCTGGACCCATGCAAGTACCTGGCCCCATGTCGGTAACCCTCAAAGCCCGATCAACTTTCCTGGAAACGTGCAAGGCATGCCCAGACTTCGTGTGCCGAAAGGACATGCACCGAAAGGACATGCACCGAAAGGACGGAATAAAAATTGGAAGGGAAAGAAGAAGGGACAGCAAGGATCCTATGGTAATCATGGAAACTTTGCAGGACAAGAACAGGTTAGATGTGCAAGGGTTCTACATCATAACACGAGTTTGACACGTGATAATTGAGGTCTTACTGCAATAAAGTCTCAGTTAAGTTGATTCCGACCACCTTTGCACAAAGGACGAATTTGGACCGGTACTGAAAAACGTGGACGATTCCACTTTTTGGGAAGTCTTCTAATTTCGGGAGAACGTCAGAACGGTCTGAATTCGTCCCAGACGTTTCCTAAAACCAATGTTGACAAGTTACAAACAGTAGCCATACTTTCGTTTCAGGTAGCCAAACGAAAAACGTTGTTTTAGTCTTTAGCAGTTTAGGTAGGTATTTACATCGCAGTTGTTGTGAACAACTTGTAACAAACTTGATGGCATTATCAGATTTGGTACAAGGTTGTTTTAACAAGTCTTGATACAGTCATGAATGATATAACAAGAATGTTACAAAGTTGACGACACAAGGTTGTAACAATATTGTTATACCATGGCTGTATCGGACTTGTTGGAATAACCTTGCAACAAGTCCGATAATATCAACAAGGTTGTTACAAGTTGTCAACAGCTTGTTCCAAACTTGGGACAACAGTGCGAACACAACTTGTTGACGGCTTGTTGGCAGACTTGCTACAAGATGTGAGATTTTTGCGTGTAAACTGACTCCCACGTGAGGAAAGCGTGCCTGTATATTGTATTTTTGTGACTGCATCACTCATAAAACCATGCACAACATCCCCAAATGTGCCTCTCTAATGCTGTAAACCGTTATAGCCAACTGGTGGTAGCCAGCTCCACTGCCTTCACCTGATTTTTAGTTGGCCTATGGAAAGATATACGGACTATTTAACAATTATTCGCCGAAGGCAAGGTGATTATCGGGGAATGTTCGCCGAGACGAGGTGAATATTCCCCGATAATCACCGAGCCTGAGGCGAATAATTGTTTTAGTATTTTTACACAAATTTTTTGGAACTGAATTTATTTTAATTTCGCTTATTTCTTTATCCGTAACTTCCACAAAACGGCTTGGCGGCCATTTCGAAAATTTTGGTTTTGTTATGTTCACCTGTAGGTGAATATAACAGCGTAATACGTCAAATTTGACCAATCAACTTGTAGGATTTGTTATGTTCACTTGTGCAAAAATACTAATACGATTTATGCATGTTTATTTCTGTTTTCAAAAATTGTCATGTCTGTAAGGGTAACAAAGTTCAAAAATTCCAATACGTTGAAACAAACATTTCCTTGTTCTTTTCCGTTACCTAGTGGTCCCCCGTCGACAGCGAGTCACATGAGGAATTAGATGGTGAAGAAGGTACAAATGAGGATCTCTATGACCCAGAGACCGCGACGAGGTTTGAAGAACTGTTGAATAAAATTGACGAGCATGAGAATGACGAAGATGCCGGAGATCACGAGGACGAAAAGCCGCCCGGAGAAGAGACCCAGGCGGAATTTGAAGTAACTGCATTTACACCGGATGAGAAACCTGCAGAAGCCATTGAAACTACCGTGAAAAACATTGACAAACCCAAGTCGAATGTCGAAAACACTTTAACTGAAAAATCTGAAGCAATGCAACGAGACGTTACAACAGTTACTGTAAATAATACGAGCTCGACCGAAGTTGCCACTACTGCACCCGAAACAGCAAAGCCGAAGGTTTCCGAACCCGCAAGCACTCCTGAGAATAATACTCAAGGGAATGACACTCAGGCAATTGTGACGTCAGGGGTTGAGAGCGGAGGGGTTGAGAGTGGAGGACTGGAGGCGAGTCCGATGCCTCGAACGAAAGCAGTACGGGGAAGAAAACGTCAAGCAGCTGGCGGGCGAAAAAAGACGGCGCGAAATACGAAAACCAAGAAGGCGGTGGAGGATATTGCGGGACCCGAGGAAGGACTAGGGAATAATAATGATACTGATGGATTGACAGGAACAGAGGATGAAGTAAAGAAAGCGAAAGTAGATGATGGTGAACTATCACAAGAAAGTACGGATGCAGATGAAAGTATGGAAGGGGAGACCCCCGAGGACACTAAACCCAAGAGGGTGACGCGTGCACGCAGTCAGAGACGAAAGAAGTAAACATTGACGTTGTTCTCACAGTGGTTGTTCTGCAGTGTTTTCAGTAGAAGTTGTATAGTGTAAATAGATAAGATGGAGTATTCGTGTTCGCCAGGACTGCTTATTAACAATGCGATAAATTGCCTGGGAACGAGCACGATGCTGACTCTTCGAAGAATAAGTAGGGTGGTTTTATTGCAGCTATTTTGACCAGCGCGCAAGCAATCTGATTTATTTAGTGTTCATCTCTAATTCAAGTTGCTTGCATGTGGTTGAGTGAACGCATGTGTATATACAGCAGAGGGAGTGACCCTACACCCATTGTTACATGCTGGTATACAAGTCTTACACAAGCAGATACATTAATTGAAAGTATTTCATTAATAGTATTATCGCAAAGAACTTTCGCAATACCAGTAACATTTGAACCAAAATCTTTTTTAACAAACATTATTATTGTACTTTATTATGTTTTGTTTTTAAAACGTGTTGTGATTATTTGCATGTTGGATACACATTAAAACTTGGTCAAGTGTGTCTTTGTTATAGGATTACAATATATTAGAGGATTACAATATATTAGAGGAGGGTTGCGTTTTAACGGTATCATGTTGGGTTACGTGTTCGTTCTGTCTCAAAAACATTACTTGTTCATGGGAGCTGAAACAGATTGTGAATCACAAATGCTACATTTCGCTACGGCATCGTTAATGCACGGATAACGGGAATTAGGTTAGCACTGCATATGTTGTCACTGCAAAATGACAGTACATTTCAAAATGACAGTACATTTCTATGCTTAGATATATATATATATATATATGAGGACTATTTCGTGTGAAGTATTTTTGAAGAAAACCCACACTTGTCAAACTTTTAAGTTGAAAAGATATATCCATTTATCCACCATTTCCTATGCCTGGTTTGACTATTTTACCCTTTCATTTGATGTTATAAAATTTTCACGTTGAAATGTCTTTTTGGCTTGCATTGTGACCAAAGTGTTTTGTCCGATTCGCCTTTGGAATGCCCACCACAGCCAGCTATCTGGTTTTATCTATACCTGACATTTACCTGAAGTAATGCTTTGGTCTCTGACGATCACCTCGCCCTTTCTGGGAATTTCTGGTGGTTAGTAATCATCGTGAGCACTGGAAGTGTCTCCTGGACAATTTTCCTTCAAGTCCTCGTCATCTGAAGAACAAAAAGATAAACCATTTGTGATTTGGTCAAAGGTAAGATGCGAATCTGTTGAGCTTACTTTGAAATTCGCGATGATCCCACCTGTAAATGACGTGCCACACCAGATACAGTAAAGATGAACTCGTCTCAGATATTCTGTAAGTATGACCAGTTTCTCTGAACTCTGAGAAAATAAACATATATTTAGGCCAAACAAACAAAACAAATTTAATTAAAAGATCTTTTTGAACTTTCAACACGTTTTAATACGTCTTGGTTATTTCGTGCGCAAAAGAAGTGTATGAAAACGGTTTTTATTCTGCTTTTTAAAAGTGAAATGGACTGCTTACGCAACTAAAAATCGCCTGCCCGATCTTTTTTGAAAAACAAAAATATTTTTCAATTGGCCATTTGATCATAGATAAAAAAGACCTAGGTTTATGCTCATTGCCACCCAATTTACTCAATTGCTTGGTGACGTTTATTCCATGTTATGCTTACATTTGTAACTGAAGAGCGAGTGTTGGATGGTGATGGGCAAAAGCATGTGTTAGCTAATTATGTAAGTAGCATTACCTCCATTTCTTCCACTTCATCCTCCTCATATTCCTCTTCATCATATTCCTCTTCATCAGTCTCCGTCAACGTCTGTGGCCAGAACCAAACTTCATTGCAACTCAGGTTCTAAAGTTGAAATGCAAAACTTTTGTAACAAAACATTCTCCATAAAAAACACAAGATGGATGCACATTGACTTAAATTGCAGGACACACTGCGTTCCATCCTAGCAGGGATCCATCCACTTTTTGCTTCCTGATCACACAATGGGTTCCAGAAAATTGCAGATTGATAGGAATACAACTACCCGAGAGATACAAGGAGAACGTTTCTGAGCAAATAACCCTTCGTTTGGAAGTTAGTAACTTATCTACTAACTTCCGGACAATAATGAGCTTTTACTCGAAATGTTGAAGTTTCACTACTAATGTCTGGACCATCGAAACATCGAAGTTCTCCTTGTATTTTTCAGGTATGCACGTAAAAACGCACAAGTTGTAACAAACCTGCAGCAGACTTGTAGCAAGTCTGCACCAACAACTTGTCAACAGGATGTGTTCGCACCGCCGGTTCCCAGCTTGTTGAGACGGACTTGTTACGGCTTGTTGACGGACTTGTAGCAAGGTTGTTGTGACAGGGCCGTAACAAGGTTGTTGGCAACAGGTTTGTAGCAAGCTTGTCAACAACTTGTCTTTGTACAACGTGTACTTGTTAACAAGCTTGCTACAAGCTTGTTCAGTCAACAACTTGTCACAAGTTGTGAGATTTTTACGTGTGTAGTTGACTTGCATTCCTATCCATCTGCAGCTTTCTTATTATAGACTGTTCCAGAAAATCCGAACCCCTTTACAGAAGAGGAAACATAGTGTTGTGGGGTGGTGTGGTGGGTGGTGTGTGGTGTGGTGGGTGGTGTGTGGTGTGGTGTGAGGTGGTGGATAGGGTGGTTAACTCCCCTATTTTGGTGTGGATGTTTTCTGAACTGAGCTAACTCATTGACCCAATGTGTCGTACCTTTGCTTTATCCAACTGTTCACATGCTTTTTGACTTTGAAACAAATCTTTATCAACTTGTTTATTTGAAAATATTTCTTTTTGCTTCTCTCTGAACTGTTCTTGTTGTTTTGCTTCAAGTTTCACACGTTTTTCTCGGGCAACTTGCAGATATTTCTGTTGCATTTCTTGTTTTCGTTTTAACTCTGATTCTTGGCCCAAACCTCCACGGCCTAGTTAAAATGAAAAGATGCTTTCGGATATTTTCCAATCAAGTCCTACTTGTATTATACAGAGTGCATCTTTTGCTTCTAATCATGAAAAATTGTGGATAACACATGGTCTATTCCCACATACACGTTCCACAAGTCCTTGACAATTGTAAAGAGCATTTGAAAGATTCAATTAATTAAGTTGGTCAGTCAGGGTGAAATTCAGGTGAAATTAAGGATGGAGAAAAGTGATGGTGGGAAAGTAAAAAAAATCATGCAGAGGAAAGCAATGAAAAATTATTTTAAAATTCCACAAAAAAATTCTTGTACAAGCAAATGGCTGAAACAAATTCATGCAGAACCAGAAAATTCCCCTCTACCCATCACTTTTCAAATTATTAGTTGAATGCAATGTGCGCTGATCAGTTTGAAACCCTCAAATACTCTTGAAAACATGCAGGTTTCATGAGCATACGCAATCAGACAGTATTTTGTTCTGTAACTGTTTATTGCCTTAGACGAATATGATGGTAATGGCAGAGCTTGGGAAAATAGAACATCTATCTACCTTCTTTGATTGACAATGGAATAGGTTCTTTTCTTCCCTCTCCTAAAAATATTAATATTTCATCATTTTCATGCTTTGTTCACATTCACAATTGTTGTTGAATATACGCAATTATCATATGACCAAAACAAGATACAAAGCATCATACCAAGTTTCCCAAGGCCCTTCCCTTCCTTGTAACCCATTTTCTGCAAGAGAGCAAAACCTTTGTTTGAACTATCTATGGCATTTGATAATGCTTTTTCTCGGCGTTCACTTTCTCGTTGTTTTAGAGGTTTTACTCTGTTTTCTGTTTCTTTCTGTTTTCTGTTTGTTTCTTTCTTGTATTCTCTAGCGGCAGCACCAAAAGCAAGCCCAGGTCTGGTGTCTTCAAGCCCTAAAAGAAACGCATCTGACATATAATCTTCTTCTTCGTCAGCCATATTGGTTTTAGTAAGTACTTCATGTAAGTTGTAACACCCACAAAACATTTGAACAAACTATTCCAACTGCTGCAGAAGATCATGGGTACGAGGTTGAGTGAGGGGTAACCGTAGGTCTCTACAAACCTTAACCCTGCCCCTGAAGTGGCAACGTTGGTTTTTGAACTAAGCCGCTGATAAAAAAACTGCGGACACAATATTCCGGTTTCTATGCTAATCGTTCGTGTTATTCTGGATTTCTGGTTAATTAAGTCCCATCGCGCACAAATCGCAAGACGTTCCCGAAATATGAAACTATAGTAAACTGATTAGTTCCCCTCGCTGGTATTTGTAAACTGATCAACCTCACGCTGGTATTTTTGTAATATTACCTAAATTTAGGCTGGTTTCTTAGAGAAACGTTTATATGTACAACAAATATGTACAAAGCGTACGATTTCTCTTTGCAGTAATTTGCATTGTACAAATTATATAACTCACACAAGGAAAAAACATGGGGTTGTTGAAGGTCATGCACGTAAATTTCCCAGGGAACTGTTTGTATAACCAGCGTGCTTCGAGTTGACAGTTTCAGTTTGTTGAGAATAGAAAGCATGAAACTATGAAAGACGGATACTTTCTAGCTATCACAATTGGGAGAATCGTACTTGATATGAAATATAAACATTTTTGAGGATTAAATTTGGGGATTTAGGACCTCCAACTTATTGAAAACATTGTCTTTTCTAATTCTTCCTAAGAACCATCACCCGTTTCTTAGAATATGAAACCAGGTTTTATTTTATTTATTTATTTTATTTATTTAAGGTTGGTGGCGTATCAACTCTTGTGAAACATTTGTTTCCATTTTTTATGTCCAAACATTTCAAATATTGTCATTGGCTACCAAAGTTTTTATACACTCCCACTGAATCACTGATCTTGTCAAGTCGCTGAGATTGCCCACAACTTGTTATTGAGCAAGTTCCAAGCCCCGTTGGGTGGTTACTTCGAATACTTTGACCGTCTAATGCATGATCATTCCTTTAATATGGTCGCACAGACTAAAGTGTATTTTCTTGTAAGATAAAGGCAAACAACGAAAACATGCCAAGACAGATTCAACATTTATATTATGACATAATTTCATCGAATCTGTTTTGTTTTTCTGACCTTCACCTTCCGGCATTAACACGCATGTTGGACCACAGGATCGAGTAACGAATACTTGGACTTCTTAAATATGATTCATGTTTTCACACATATTTTGCTAATCGCTATCGCCATCCACGACTCCTTTGCTAACCAGTTTTAAACAGCACCATTATTAGACTGTTTTAAAATTTTTGTTGCAGTGGTTGCACATGTACAAGGAAAATTTTTTTTTTTTGAAAATGAAATTTGATACCTGTATGTAATTAGTAAACCATATGACTTGGCCTTCAGCTGGCCGATTGTCATTCAGACTTCAGACTTACACCAGCAATGATACAGGCTCAGGCTGTTGGTTTAGAAGTGGCATTCAAGGGCAAGGTTATCGAGTATTTACCCTCAAGTTGACAGACTTGAGAAAAGTTGGTGGTGGACGACTGCACCAGGATTTTTACTGTACTACCACAAAAGTTATCGCCAAATACTAGTTGTTGTGAGACGAATATGGCATCGAAGCCATCGCAAGACGAGTCCCTGCCGTGATGAATAAAAATTTTGCGGATACTGAACACGGCGATTTCCCAATGGTCTTCTCAGACGATGAAGAAGGTATACTTCATTATCATATTTTATGACTTAAATAGTTGAATATTTTATATAATTATAGTTGAAATATATAGTTGAATATTATAAATAATTATATATTAAATAAAATGTGTATTTGTTGAAAGCCATAGCTAGTCCATTATAACCTGAGCTTCAAATATTTTCTGCTGTAATATATACATTTAAAATATTTAATAGAATTAGGCAATATTATTATTCGTGTTTTAAAGTCTATGTTTATGCCAAGTTTGAATTTAGCACTCTGTAAAAGTTGGCTTGTGCGTCACGATTAACACGAGTTTCATCATAAAATGCGTCAAAACTTTTAACCCCTAACCTGCGCCGCAGAGGACTCTATCAGTGACATATACATTATTGAGTCTGCGGCGCAGGCCTCTCAATTACGCAAATATTCTTGGCTGGTTGACAGAAACCATGCTGGTAACGAGAAATGATGAGCTGCAATCCCAGTTCAGGGTTCGACAAATTTGTTATTTTTAAAAGCTTCCTGGCTGAATTATGTCCGTGTCAGCCGTGATTAAACTTGTGCGGTTGTGCTATTGTCACAAACTGTGTCACTGCTGTATCAAGTATGGGGTCTAGAACGTACACTGTGTCAATTATCAAGTCTCTAGCCATCAACATCAACGTCATTCAAGTAAACTTCCTACTTCATCCAAGCTTGTTCAAAATCGTAAACACCGTTTATGCTAGCGGCGTCGTTTCGCTTTAAGGAACGGATATGTTCTTTGTTCATTTAATAAATTGATGTTTAAAAAAGACCGTAGCAGGAATGGAAGCTATAACTATTTGTAGGTTGTAGATTCGTCATTCGTCTACAATGATATAGCATTTCAAGAAAGGTGTATCAACTTTCTTAATTGAGTAGAAACACAGGCGTACGAGACAGGCAACTCCCACCCCCCGCCTCCCAAAAAACACCCAGAAAATCATGGATATTCGGGAAAATACAGGGGGGAAATCAAGATATCTCGGGCAAATATATCACAAAATATGCAATTTCATTACAATCTTTCATAAAATTCCGGGGAAACTTTCAATTGCCCCCAGGAAAAGTATCAGCCCCGTACACTTGTTTTGAAGTACTGTTGTTACATTTTGTTACAGAATTTTTCACTGCTATTATCGTACCCAGTTTAACTCGGCCGAGAGATCACACGTCCACTAATCCCTGGGCTAATCTGATCGTTTTTTGATCCGTGTTTGATCGTATCAATACTGGTATAACCAGCAGGGGAGCTTTAAACAACTTCTATATTTAGACAACAATATGTTATATGATAATGAAGATGATATTATTGATGCACTTTATCACACTTTCTATTTACATTTCATATTATGAAGTTCACCAAACCATGACGTGCGGGCACTTTAAAATTTGCAAAAAAACATCTTGAAATATTAGCCCATTGAAAATGGTCAAAATGAAATACACGTACCGCCACTCCCTCATATTTTTTTATCTCTGAACGGAAATTGTAAGCCTAATCTTGTGATCCCTGAGAACAAAGAGCTACTTCAAAGTAGATGAATGTCTTATAAACAGATATTGAAAGAACTAGATTGAGTTCCAAAATATCACCTGTTTCAACCGACACATTTGGTAGAGGTCAAACAACGTTTCAGCTTGCCACAATTGTTATACGACATGTACTTTAATTTTCACTTAGGTGTACGAGGGCTGCAGCCCCCCCCCCCCCCAACAATTTTTAAGTCGGGTGGATTACCAGATCATACTTAAAAATCGGGCAATTCTACTTAAAAATCGGGCAGTTTCCAGTTAAAAATCGCGCAAACGATGAAAAGGAATCACGACGCGTATTAAAATAGTCGAAAAAGCAAGACGGAACATTGTTTTTGTAGTGGTCGGGCAATTTCCATCAATTGCAAGGTAGGGCAAATTTTTGTTCCCCTGATTTTTTCCCTCCCATAGTCCATACGTTAATTCGAATAGTTATTTGTTTTCGTCTCTTGTTTTCAAAAACAAACCGAGTTCTGACCTTCATTATTACTGATATCTGATGTAACATTTTAAGATTTAAATTGGTTACACCGTGATGGCGTAAGTCCAACATATGGCTGTTAATTTGGTTAATTATTCACCCATGATGATCGCGTGCTTACGAATCACGTGAACAAAAGTTTCGAACGCTCTGTCAGCCAATCAAAATTGTCACTGTGACGTCAGAGCACAAAGTCCAAGGCTGCCCTTGGACTCTTCGAGGGCGGAAGTCAGCTGACAGCGGCACGTAAACAAAAAAAAAATAATCGACTCGACTTGCAAAATAAACATTTTTTATCCTTCGATTTCTGAGAAGAAATATAGACTGGAATGAAACAATCTGCAGCCAAAAAGGGAGATATCGGTTTTAAACATCGTGCAAACTTAAGGTAAAATTATTGTAGCCTTGTTTTTCGAATATTCAAATTTACTGTATTCGCTACTGTTTACATGTATAATTCGGTAAACTTTAATAACGATCTATTCTTATAACGATTTATTTATCTGGGTTTTAGAAGTTATGATTTTAGGTTTAGTGGTTGTAACTACTAACTAGCCAGGCAATTCGTTGCTGTCTTAACCGGCTTAACCACAGGAAAATGCCAATTGCAAACATCGCTGCCATACTCATGTCATGCGAGGGCTTTTCCCTGAGATAATTTTCACAGCTTCCGAAATTTCGTCTTACTGCTTCGTTTTCTAATGATTAAAAAGAATCAAAAAGACTAACGCTAGGTGCCTACTTAAGTTAGAACATAAGTAATAACTTATCAGATCTTTAAATATATTTCATCAAATTCAAATATATTTCATCACAATAAAGCCATGGGAATCCTCCTACTTGGATTAATAATAAGTCCAAATATTAATTGTAATATTTCTTTATTGGGGGTTTTTGATTTTTGCTAAACGTGAGGCTTTTATGTATGAAAGATATACATTTACCTAATTTTTGGTCGAGTAATAAGAAATAAGTTATATTTGACAACCTACTCAGTTTTTGGTTGAGAAGTTTAGCGGGTACTTGTTTATATGCCGAGCCACAAAGCCAAGGTTTTAATTTGCGTTGTAAAAGACTTAAAATGTTCGTTTTCCGTTGACAAAAGTTCAGAAAAAATGTGTTTATGTATTTAAATGAATGCATTACCACAGGGCATTACTAAATTTTCTGTGCATTCTACAGTGATACCTGCAAGGGGTCCCTTTTTGTATACCGTATATCGAGCATATCGAGATACCGATTAGATAATTTATTAAGGCTGGTGCTTTACACTAGCACAGTAGGAATTTCGCATAGGTAAATTCTAAGTCTTGAAGTATTTGTAAGAAATCTTCGAGGGAACTGACTCACTGTTTAACACTGCGGCAGTTCCCTCAAACAAATCCTTCAAAACTTAGAATTTACCTATGCAAAATTCCTACTGTGCTAGTGTAAAGCACACAGAAACTTTGATAGTGTATCCAGTGACTCACTCTGTTGACGATCAGTACTGTATTATTGCACAAGTTAACAGTACTTTAAAGTCTTTCAATATAAACAAAACCCAAAGCGTTGGCTTATGTGCAATTTTGGCACTGAGCCGAAACGATTTGCATTTTATATAAGTAATATTCATGCATCATTGTAACAATAAGATCATTAGAACGTGTCGTTGTCAACAGTGAATTATAAATGTTTTCTATTACACCAAACAGCTCATTACATTATGCAAAGTTTAATGCAATGAGGAAAAACTAGGAAAGATTCATCGATTCTCCATGGAATGATATGATCATCAACTCTCAACCAGTACTCTCAACGGTAAAATCTGCCAATTGCAACACATGCCCGTTTTGAAAGCCCGCTGACGAAGTGAAAGAAGTTTTGGGATGTAAGAAAGTTATCCATAACATAAAGGTTTTCCCAGCTAGTTTCGTTGCAATTCCAAAGGTTCTTTCAACAAGAAATTGTTATAATCACAGAGGTTTGCATTATTAAATTTGGTTATTTTCTTTTCTAGCTGTTCCGATGGAGGAGGCCAGAGAACAAGACTTTCTTCAAGTACCAAGTTCCGAAACACCAATGAATGTTGAGCTCAATGAGGATCCATGGACACCAATGACAGCCAAGAGACGACATTCTGATGCAGGTACGTACCATCACAACTATGCTACCAACATCATGACATTAATCACCATCATCATTAACACTGGCAAAATACCACCAACATCGTTCTATCTCAGTTGGTGCCATTATCTCCACTACCATTATCCACCAGAATCCACCATCATTATCACCACCATCATCATCACCACTATTATCACCATCGTCCACCATTGTTAATTACAGTCTCTGTCCTCACCAACGACAATCTTATTTTGAAAAACATCATAAATAATTTTTGTTCTGGTTTATGTATTCACTGGTTTTTAAAAACATTAAAAATTTACTAAATGTTAAAAGTTATAAATAAATCAGGCTTTCGGACTAAGCGTCCATCAGGATTTTAGTGAACACATAAACCAGACAAAAATGAAATTGCCTAGTAACATATCAATTGTGACTCCTAAATCATTCATAGGCTCTTCACTGGCAGCAATATCTAACGGACATGTTGACTACATTCCAAATGGCGACATTCCGAACGGTGAAATTCTGAATGGCAACGCCAGTTTCCACGAGAAAGAAAAGATTGACATCGCCTATGAAACGAACGAAGGAAACTTTCGCCCTTATAAAAGACGTTTTTATATCCTCCTTGTGTTCTCCCTCTCTGCATTTGGACAATACTGCGCGTGGAATGCGTTTGGTCCTATATCAGGAACAGTGAAAGCTGTATTTGGTTGGGGAAATGCAGAGATCGCTTTACTTGCAAGTCTTGATCCAATCACGTATCTTTTTACGATGATATTCTTTTCATGGATGATGGATGTGAAAGGTAACTAGAGAAGAACTTCCGACGAAGGGTCTTCGCTCAAAACGTCGAGGTTCTTCTTGTATTTTTCAACCCGCAGCTTTCTGAACTAGAGAATCAATATGGAACATCGTGATTACCAATATCGAAGTGCCTGCATGGCGGCAACAGGTTGTTTGGCAGCATGTTTTTGACAGCACGACAATGCTCACCCTGTCTTCAAACATCTTCAGTTTTCCAGTGTAAAGCATGCCAAATTTTCTGCATGCGATACAGTAAATGAAATGGTGAGAGGTGCACGTTGTTTTTGACAGTAAATTTACATTAGGGGTGCCGAAATAATAGTTGAGGAATCTTTAAAGAAACTCGAGACGAATCGTACAAGCTTGAAAGCCGAAAGTATAATCACTTGGGTCGAGATATTAAATATGAAATCTGCGCTTTGTAAATTAAGGTACTTTGTGATATATGTCATTTTTCCTTTCCGACAGGTCTCCGTGTTTCGTTGGTGCTTTCCGTTTTCCTCATGTTTGTTGGAACAGGTTTAAGATGTGTCACGAGCGATCATGATGTTGCACTTTGGTAAGTTACATGGTCTTATTTTGACTAAAAAAACCCTTAATCTAATGTCTAAAAGCTTTAAAATGTTTGATACAAGTGTAACTTATTAAGGCCCGTCAAGTTGCGGTTTGATCGCCATCTCTTGGCTCTATGCACACTCTAGCCTCCTCCGCAGGCCTCTCATGGGTTTTAGCTTGCGAATGGGTTTTAAAAAAAAAACCCAACTTTTTCCGACCACCCGATTCCTCGGGTAAGATGCCTGCGGAGGAGGCTATGCACACTCATCATCTGGTTCAAATTTTGAGAGTGAACGGGAATTTCTGCTCGTTTGGCCAGTCCCACGTTGCAACTCTTGATTGACCGGAGCATAAGAGTTGAGAAAACTCTCACGCAAACTCTCGCATATCAACTCTTATTCTCGTTTGACCATACTCCACTCGGCTGCAATGTTGGCTTCATTTATCAACAGTTTCCAAAAAAATTGAATTCAATATCACGAGGCATTAACCGTGTTGTGTCTCTTTTAGGACAATGACAGCTGGACAATTCCTCAATGGTCTTGCAGGGCCTGTCACGCAAGCAGCTCCACCATTGCTGTCGTCCGCGTGGTTCCCACGCAGTGAGAGAACTACTGCGACTGCGGTGGCATCGCTCTGCGGATCTCTAGGAGTGGCGTTGTCGTTTGTGATTGGTCCAAATATGGTGGGTGGTATTGATCTCGACAGTTTTCCAACTCAGTCAGAATTTTCACAACTTACTTCAAATTACAGGTAAGATGAGTCGGACTAACTTTAAATCCGTTATGTAGCTCTTAGCCAGAATGGACCAGCTCTTCCCTGTAATTGGAAATGCTCGGTTTGTTTGCAACCCGAAGGTTATATTTGCCATTCACCCAATAACACTGTAAACACCCGACTTACATCTCTCTTTTATTTACAGTTTTCTCTCACAGAATCTTTATTTAAACAAGACCATTCCTTTATCAGGTAAGCTTTCTAAGATTTCTTTACTAAATATCTTTACTGAATGAGTTCTTGTTCTTCTAATCTTGCTTGCGCAAATAGACAGGGTAGAAAAATTAAGCGTGTATATTTGAAATTGTCTTCATTGAATAAGTACGCGTTCCTCAACCTCGTGGAAAGAGCCTGGGTATGAGGTTGCGCGTTCCTTACTAATCTTGCTTATGCGCAAAACAGAGTATTCTATATTTACTTTGCTTTCACTTCATTTTCTATCTCTTTTCTTTTCTTTTCTTAGAAACATTATACAAAGACGCAAATCACTACTGGTCAATGGACGACATTAGCAAGCCTTCAACACCAACATTTAGTGATAAACTCTACTATATTCAAGACGCTAAAAGCGACCTCAGAGGAATTCTTCATAGAACTACGCATATTTCAGGACAAATTGACAAAGCCTTAGAATTAAGCGGAAATGGTTTCATAGATCTTGGAAATTTTATCAACACTTGTTTGGGAAAACCATCTGTTTGTGATAACGGCATGACCGTTTCGTTTTGGTTAAAATATAAACTTTTAGACAGGAGGCAATATTTTCTAGGGACTAGTGGTTCAGACATTAGACAACCAGGATTTGTCATATATCAAGATATGTATATAAACGGTAGTAATTATATAGCGGTCAGTGTTCGGACTGGCGAGGCAGCATGGACCACGCATGTGACAGTCCCGTGGGATACATGGACTCACGTGCTATTCAGCTGGAGCCCACGTGATGGTTTGACAGTGCACACAAATGGTACGGTCGCTAGTAGGTCAAAGGAGTTCTCCCCAACAGGATCGATACAGAATTCACATACGTCATTCACACTGGGAAGAGCAAATAATGAACCAATATTATCTAGGGCTACCTACGACGAGCTAGCTGTATGGTATCTAGTACTTACAGATAAGGAAGCCATGGCGATCTACGCAAGGACGTCTGGGATTGATTTCGAAGCTCTAGACGCCAAGACCATCCAAGGTGAACATGCATAGTGCTAAAAAGAAAATATTTGTAAGCGTTAATTTGTTTGAATGGCCGAGTTAGATGATTACTGTGGTTATACAGTATACTATGCTGAGTGGTTATATTACTACCTTAAAAAATAAGCAGAAACTTGACGTTTCGGGCGAAGGCCCTTCGTCAAGAGTTAGTAGCCAATTATTATTAGCAATTTATACAGTATACGCCTGTTTTCCGGCAAACATTATAGCCATGGTTGGTGGTTGTAAACTACGCCTGTTTTCGCCTCACTGTTCTCGGAAATATACATATGCAGAAAGTTTTTATATTTGACTTACACAGGAAATTTTGAATTTTCGAATTTGCTGCCAAGAAGAGAAATATATTATCTAGACCCGGTATTTTCGATGGTGCTACTCCAGTACAGCTCCACAGCGGGCAAGCTGAAAACTTGCTTCACCGCGGTGGGAATCTTAGGGCGCTTTCCATTTAATGGCCTGACTGGTCAGACCCGAATTCTTTTCTCTGTATCAATGGAAAGATTTGGTCTATGTTTCTCAAATATCTAGCAAAAATGGACATCATTCTAATGTTATCTAAATTTTCCAGTCAGATAGGTCCGAAGCCCAGATGTTTTGTGTTCCATTCAACAATTTGACCGTTCTGACCGTGTTAATCGAAAGCGCCCTTATGCAATCCTAGAACAAGTTTGACACTGTAGTGTCTTCATTCGATCGTCATCAAAGGTGATCAAAAGTAGCAACCGAGATCTTTATCGCATAAAAAATCTGATCAGGTGTTTTCTCTTTCAGCCAAAGAAGATTTGTTGCAAGAACGTGAAGATGAAATCATGAGGTTATTGTATATAGGTACGTTTATTATATAGTAGAGAGTGAGATACTGAAAAATACACAGCGAGATATCTTCCATATCTTCACTAGTGAACATATCGATCACGTGACTTTTAGTGTTTATACATTTTTTTGCTTGGGACTATATAATGGAACATTACACGGTGGCATTACACTACAGAACATTACACGGTGGCTTGAAGATATGACTTCTATCTTCTCGTGTTAAAAACAATATTTTACTCACTCGCTGCGCTCGTTTGTAAAATATTGTTTTCACCACTCGAAGATAAAGTCATATCTTCGCGCCGCCGTGTAATATCCTCTATATATGTAAAGATCTGGTCCAAAGAAGACGAGAGTTGATGAAAGTTCTCGTTCGCGTTTGGCCGCCATCTTCCATCGACTCTCATCAACTTCGAGGGGCGGTTCAAACTTTGGTTAGAGTTGACGAAAGTTTTTGCTATGCGTGGTAATATCCAGTCAACTCTCATCAACTCTCATGCAACTCTTCCTCTCGTTTTACTGGAGTACGAGAGTTGAAAAAACTCTCATGATGCAAACTCTCATTCTCATGTGATGTGGACTCTTTCCACGTTTCCTGAATTTTAAACTATCGAATCGTAGACAACGTAATTCTGATGCATATCGAGAGTGCCATTAAAGGAAGTTACTAACTAAAGCAATCTCCACTAAACGATTCAATTTTGATTTTTCTAGAGTTTGGAGTGATAGCCGTGTTGTTTGTGTGCACAGTGTTATATTTCCCAGATAAGCCTCCCACTCCGCCCAGTCTTTCATCAGCCAGCGAGAGAGAGGACTTTAGTGAAGGGTTCAAACAACTCTTACGACATAAACAGTTCTGGACACTCACAATGATTTATGGAATTACCACAGGTAGACAGAAAAGCAACCATTTCTTAAATTTCCTTGAATGCACACAAAACAACAGCTTGAAGACAAGGATGACAATGTGATTATCTATACATACTTTACATAGTCAAGTCATTTCCAGCCTTGTACCATTGTCTTGTGTGTGTCATCGAGCAAATTCGGGAAGCTATTTTTTATTAAAAATATTCTTATGCCTAATTATTATTCTAATAAATTTCCATTACTCTTTCAGGGATTTACAGTGGCTGGGGAGCTTTGTTAGCTTTGAATCTCGAGGGTTTTAATATCGGACAGGTAGGATTTCACTTAATATTATACCTCACAATGAGCTTGTCCAATCAGAGAACTAAATTTGTACCACATTTCATCCCTCAGGGTAATTTTTTGTGGAATACCCCGAGTGAAAGGTCTATAACTGATAAGTATACATTGGTGAAGTAATACTATACAGATATGTCAGTGGTTTATACCTCGCAACAATTTTACATGACCAATATTTCCTTGCTTTCCATGTGCCTGAAACGGAGAAATATTTTTGTTTATTGGTAGGATAGTAAAGCATTAAATATAGGAGTGTGAATCGATGGTCTGTCACTCTGCCTAGGGACCAGAATGGTGACAAAAGTGCCGTAATTTCATTTATTAATTCAATTTATTTTCCCAGAATCAAGCTGGCTGGATTGGTTTTTACGCTACAATCGCTGGTATTGGCGCGGGAGTTTTACTTGCCAGGTAATCATTGAAAACATATGAAGAAATAGAAAGATCACTAAACACACTTGTGATACAACTCATACATACAAAAACTTCAAGTTACTGCTGTCAGAAAGATTAACAATGGCAATGGTTTTTCCTCTTCTAGATTTTCGGATTTTTTTGGAGGTCGTATCAAACGACTTTTACTGTTCCTGTTCTTTTGTTCATCAATATCCTTCCTCTGGTTCTCTTTGCTTTGTCTCAGGATAATTCCATTCTCAGAAGGTAACTGAATATTAGATTGTCACAAGAACCAAAAATTGCTTCGCAAAAGATGAATGTGAACGCCTTACTGATCCTCAACCTCGTACCCAGGCTCTTTCCACTACGCTCCTGGGAACGAAGTTGACTGGTCCTTTCGTAGCTTTTATTGCACATTCTTTCTTACTATTCCAAAATTATGTCACGTCCATTAGGGTTAGGTTTGGCATTGTAAGAATAAGTACAGTGCCGTCCCTAGGCCACAGGCCGTCACCCCATGAAAATATCTTGTCGGCAAAATGAAGGATTTTGTCGGTGATGTCTACATTGTTCATCTAATAAAATTTGACCACCCCCCCCCCACATATTTCGGATAATTTGTCGGCAAATACAATACCACCTCCCCCCTGCTTAAGCCTCTTCGCGACGTCCCTAGATAAGTAATAATTTGTAAGTAGAAATCACTGAATATAAAATTAAAATATGGAAATCGACTCTCTTTCTTGATATATAAATTTCTTCCCAAATAGACCCTATGCATAATGACGTCACTAGGCTTGATGCCCGAGAGGAATGCTGGTTTTAGTAGTCATCGCCCGGGAAAATTAAACACTTCAAAATGGCCACTATCGAAATTTTCCCGGGCGATGACTACTAAGACCAGCATTCCTCGCGGGCATCAAGCCTTGTGACGTCATTATGCATAAGGTCTATTCACATATCTTCTTCTCTCTTGTTTCCAGCGTCTCTTTATCCGTCCAGCATCATTGGTGGGTTCAGCATCAGTGGTACGATACCACTATTTTACGAGTTAACAGTTGAATGTACCTACCCCATTTCCGAGGGCGTCACCACCGGGATACTCACTCTTATTAATAACTTCTGGACTGTCCTGTTTCTATTGGTCGTCATGATTCCAGGAATAGGTAAGTCAGGCTAGTTTTGAGAACATCTTGCGATTATTTCACGAAACGTCTATCAACAAGTTAGAATAACAGTGAATTTCGGACATCTAGCTCGACAGAAGACAATGTGGAAACTCTTTTCGTGGAGGGAAATTTCAAGTGAAAATCAATATACATTTTTAAATTAAGTCGACTAACCTGCAGCAATTGCGAAAAATGAAAGTAGTAAGCTCTCAGGCAGGAGTGGAAGCTCTCAGGCAGGAGTGGAAGCTCTCAGGCAGGAGTGGAAGCTGTTCAACCTGCGGCATTTTCATTCCGGTGAAGCTTTCTGAGCAGCAAGGCCAGCTAGAGCCATTAGCGGGTAAATGCCTGTTTACACTTGCAATTTTTGAATGTTGAGATGAGTATGAATGTTCCCCACATCTCAACATTCATAATCCTTCCACTCGTTGTAAGCAGGCCTTAAGGGTTCTGGAACAAAAAAGAGAAAAACTATGGGAATGTTTGATGCATATACCCTCTATATAATATATCATACGTTACTTTTTGTGTGTGTTGGTGTTATGTTCTCAGGTGTTACTCGAACCGACTTGACCTCGTAGCTCAGTAGGTAGAGCATTGGACTAGTATCCCAAACGTCGCGGGTTCGATTCCCACGGTCCCACCATGGTCAGGCAAACGTTTCATCTTGCCCTGTGTACTCAGAGTAACATCACAAACATCATATGATACGTTCTTGCCATACACATTGCAGTTAGTAGACAAAATGAAACAAACGTTGACTTACAGGCAATGCCGTTGCCATGCATGACTCAGCTTCATGACCAGGTCTCTCGGTTTTTGCCTCTTCTGCAACCACATTCAACCGCTGTGTACAGACTCCAGGGACCGGTTGTTCAAAGCTGGATTAACGCTAACCCTGGGGTAACCGGCTCCTTTGGTTTGGGTACATTTGCACTTCTGTTTATTTCAATGGAACATAATATTTCTATTGATCCAGACATGGACTGTGAAAACTATCTTCATGTTTTTAAAAACAAGCTGTTTGGAAGATTGCTTTGAAATTTTCGTTAACCTAATATTCCAGTTGTTATACGTTAGCCACAAGCTCGTTGCACTTTTCTTCAATTTTCTGATGTACCCAGCTTGTTTTCATTCAACTACTGGATGGATATCGTTTGCTGTAATACTTGCTGCTTCCCCATAGTGATCACTCTTCTGTCATCCCACATATACTAACCGCTCTTCTCTCCCTTCACAGGTACAGTTTGGATGAACTGGGCTTTGTTTGCATCGTGCGCGGGTTGTATTCCAATATTAGTCATGTTTAAGGAACGTTATGGCAGACTCGTGGTTGATCAAGGAATAGAGGTGAAAGTGACAAATGCAAGTGATGGAGAACTACAAGATGACAAATTTAAAACAAGGAGCATATTTTCATCGACGCTGTCAATGGCCGGAGTTGATCAATTTATGGATAGACTTCATAAATCTAAAGAATCGAAACTTTAGACGTTTATGCTCGGGTATTGCTCAACCACGACGATCCAAGGACAACCAAAGAATAACAGTCAAACATCAACGCCATCCACGATCATTTATAAATCTGAAGAAAAAATGAAAACTTTGAATAGATGTTTCTACTCACAATTCTTCCACAACAAGTCAAACACAACCACAGAATAACAGTCAAACACAGGGGCCGCGGAACCGTAGGGACAATAGGGGCATGTGCCCCCCCCCCCTTTTTTAAAAGTGAAAAAAGTGCCCTTTTTGGGGGGCTGAAGTGCCCCATTTAAAGAACAAAAAAAGTATTTCTTGAATGAACACCCTCGTTTGCTGGAAAGTGCCCTTTTTGCAGTAGTAAAGACTCTGTTAAGGCCATTTCCGACGTTATAAGGACTCCATATTTTCAAAAATTTTCGTTCGGCTCATGAACGACATAAAATTGTTTGATTTTGGTCATATTTGTATAAAGTGCCCCTTTTGGCCAATGCCCCTCCACTTTCGAAATGCTTCCGCGGCCTCTGGTCAAACATCACAACCATCCATGATCATTTATAAATCTGAAGAATGAAAACTTTAAATAGATGTTTTTACTCTAGAATTCTTCCACCATGACTGAAAGACAACCAGAATAACAGTCACAGTCAAACATCAAAGCCATGATCAATTTATGCATAAACTTCATAAATCTACACTACAGAACAGAATGAAAAACTTTGAGTAGATGTTGTTCGTACACTTTTCAACCATGTCCCAAAGATAACCCGGATAACAATCAGACATTACCAAAGCCAAACAATATACTTACAAATCCAAGTACAATCCATTTGAAATTACTTCACTGACATTGCATGTGCAATTCGAGAGCCAATATTAAGGCCACATTACTTACACAATTCAAGTAGCATTCGTTTGAAATTACTTCACTGACATTGCACTACTTCTGTACGCTTCAAGAGCTATTATTAAAGCCACATTACTAAATTCAAGAAACTTTCATTTGAAATTACTTCACTGCATTACCTGCGCAATCCAAGACGAATCAGTCTCAAATTTAAACAATACATTCTGGACTATGAAGAAATACCGGCGATACAAATTTTCCCGCTAAACAAAACAGCTTTCCCAGGAGTTCCAAATTGAAGTTCAATATTCAGTTTATTCCAAGGACAATTACTTAGCTTTATTGGCGAGAACATCGGATCCGTTCGTAAATTTAGATGGTAAATGACAATTTTCTATTTAATTTTGTATTTCATCCAATTTAGGGGAATTTTTTTAATCATAAATGCAAATGAATTCACTGTTATACACGAAGGTTATACGTAAAAATGGGTAAATTAATTAAATTTTAAAGTATTTGAAAATAAAACAGGGGAGAATGTAATAAAATTATTCACTGATGTATACGTGTTGATATGTGTGTTAAACTTTATCCAAGGCCACTAGTGGCCCAAGGATTTTATCGGGCTGACGTCATCACCATTTCACTCAACTGGCATGGACCCCCGCGTCCTATACACACCAACCTCGTACCCAGGGCCCTGGGTACGAGGTTGTATAAAAACAAAATATGCAAATCCAAGTAAATCCTAAAACAACCGTGAACCCTAACCATGATTAGAACATGATAACACCCACTCAGAACTCAGTATTTCAGCGGTCTATATCTCATCAATTGTGTGATAGTGAGCTTCATAGCAATTACAGTGAGCTAATGCGACCATTAGTATTCTCTATATAGAGCATACTAATCAGTTCAATAAACTCACAGCGAGTAACTCTTGTTTAAATCAAGCCTTTCCAACAAAATAGAAGCACAATAGAAAACCGTTTCCAATCCATTCTTTGAGATGCATGCGCAAGATAATTATTACAGAGTGAGATAAACTCGTTGAACTGAATATAACTGGAACGCTACCTCCAACCAGAAATTTGAAGCCAAACCAATCTCGTTCCCCGAGCCTGCGATCCTTGGGAAGGAACGCGAGGCTCTGGGATAATCCGTTTCAGAGAGGAATCTGATTGGCCGTTGAAATGGATGCGTAGTTCAATCTTAGCCAGGATTCCTGGCTTCCGGCAACGGATTATCCCAGAGCCTCGCGTTCCTTCCCGAGGATCGCAGGCTCGGGGAACGAGATTGAAGCCAAACTTGAAGGCCAGTCCCAGTCTTTTCACGCGTGCGAAGAGCGCTCAAACAGTCAATCATGGTATATAAACACGCGAGTCTGGGGGTCACGAGAAAAAGATCGGCACTTTATATTAAGGTAAGCGTTCCAGTTATATTCATTTCAATGGATAAACTTTATACACGAGTTTCCTTGACAAAACTAAAACATTGAACTATTAAGAAAGTCTTGGAACGCTTCCCTCGCGTATATGAAGGCCAGGAAAAGAAACCAAACTTTAAGCATTTTGGGTACTTGAGATTTGCATGCTGGGTTTGGTGAATAATCCAAGTGAGCAAACCGTTCCTGGTTAGGTCTTAAAATTGTGTATTTAGCAAATAGATACGCAATCTCGTACCCAGTGCAATGCCTGTGCGCGGGCTGGGATGGCATTGGCTCTGGGGAAATTGAATTTTTCCTGTGCTGTGATTGGTTAACGTTTATCAATCGTGCATGCCGACAAAGAACCGGAACCCCTAAATTTAGGGGTTCCGGTTGTCAATTTCCCCAGAGCCAATGCCAACCTAGCCCGCGCACAGGCATTGCTCTGGGTACGAGATTGATAGATACGCTTTTTTGTTCTTTCCACATAATGACGTCATACTGTGTATTATAAACTGAACAACGGCAAACCCCGAATTAAACAGGTAAATACTTTTGAAGTCAAAATTTTTCAATATCACGGGTACATGATCTATAGTACTATACTATATATTATTTCAATAGTTTTTGTTTTTTTGCGACACCGTGTATATGCTCACTTGGATTATCCACCAAACCAAGCATACAACAAGTTCAACCAAGTGAAGTAAACATCTTTCAATGCACTTTAGACTTACGTTTAGCTATATGGTTTGGAAAACTTTATAAGTCCAGGTCAAGACCCTGTCCTTCGTCGTCACATGCATATATGAAGTTCGGATTTCGACTTCCACTACCGCTAGCCAGTCAGGTACATTTAATCGATATGATTAAGAGATTTTTTTGTATGTTACGTAACACGCGCTCAGAACTAATGCGTATAATATACCACTCGAGGTTATGACTAAATTCAAAATTTCTATTTTTCGATACGTTTCTCAATCGGCAAACAAACTTAAAAAGTATGTTTAGTGCTTTATCTGTAAAATAATGCTAAATTGAAGAGATTTTAGATGATACGCCAAAGAGAAAATGATGTCTGAAGTTCAGTAAGTTTTGCTTATATTGGCTGTAAATATGGCGTCAATTTTAAAGCATCATTGATAATTATATTTTAGTTGACAATTTTTTACTATTATTTTATGTTTCTCAACCGGCAGATGCATTTAAAAAGGTAGCTAACTGTATAAACTAGAGAATAAAGCTAAAACAAAGTAATTTTGAGAGGGACGCCAAAAAGATTTTAGGTTTTGAACACTTTTCATTGCAAATACGTGACATTGAAAAAAATTGCCTCTTAACCAATCAAATGTGTATCTTTAAGCCTGTGCGAGATAGCGGTCATTAATTCTGAACCTAGAGAAGAAGAGGCATTTCCTAATGGAGCTAGCATGTCCCAACATACGACTTTGTTCAGCGTTAAAAAGTTGGCGAATTTTCTAGTGCACTGGGTTAAAGCTAAAATTCGATAAAGATTAAAGGTAAAAATAACGGGAATAGACCTTATGCATAATGACGTCACAAGGCTTGATGCCTGCGAAGAATGTTGGTCTTAATAGTCATCGCCCGGGAAAAATTCGATAGTGGCCATTTTGAATTGTTTAATTTCCCCGGGTGATGACTACGAAGACCAGCATTATGATAAGGATACAACTACCTGAAAAATACAAGGCGAAGTTTCCCTATCAATCTGCAGCTTTCAACCTCGTTCCAGGACTTTTCCCTTACAAAAAGGGAAAAGCCCTGGGAACGAGGTTGCGCAGCTTTATTACTGGCACTACCTGGAACAGACGGTTCTAAATTATGACAGCTTGTGGGACGTAGCAACCGTAACTAGGCAGTGTGGGAACTATCAATGTACCACAGAATAGAGACAAACAGAAGATCGACTTGTTGGTTTTTCCTATGATTTTGGCGTAACCGTAATTCGTCATCAAATTGCTGACGCCATAGTCCTAGCCAGTGCGCTTATGAGAGGCATTCCCCCCCCTGATAATATTCAAAATGGCGAACGTCCAGGGGGTGAATGCCTCTCATAAGCGCACTGGCTAGGACCATGGCGTCAGTATTTTGATGACGAATAATGGCGTGGCAGCAGTTACGCTTTTTTGGCCGAGTCGACCTTCTGTGGTTCTTTATTCTGTGATTGTACTTTCGCCCAACTCGCAATGTTTTGGCTTAAAATGAACTTGTTCATTCGTGACATTTGCTTCTTTATCCGTTACATTTGCTTAAACATTTACTTCTTTAAACTTTTATTGATTCGTTGATTTTGAGGAAAGTACAATACGCGCGGGTGACGACGAAGGGGGCCATATTTTTTGGACCATCGAATAACATGGACAACGATTCTGTTTTTATGGTTTATACGATTGTCCCAGGACTTTCCTAATTTCAATACAAAACATGAACTAATGTTTCAAGTTTTTATTAACAAGATCTTCATTTTCTTCCTTCACATCCGAGGGTGTCTCTTGGAGGTCAACATCTTCTGAGTTCTTAAAATCTTTGGAAGTCATACACATTTTCAATGAACTTACTGAACTGTACAAAAGTATTGGAATGCCACAATATGTCTTCTAACATGGCGAATAATTTATTATTGGGAAAGAACGACCCGCAAAACACCTGCCAAAGGCATAGTCGCCGAGATCAAAATGTGAAGGGTGAAAAGAAAACAGCCTTGTGCATCTTGACAAACGAGAAGTACTCATGCCCAGTGTTTGAGAAGAGCTTTAACCAATACTGGATGAAGAGAATGAAGTGGCGTAGAATAGTATAGACCAATCGCAACTAGACAAACCAGTTGAATAAATGAATGTATGCTGGAACAGTCAAGTTGTACTGTAGATCAGGAAATACTTCATGATAAATAGTTTTTTTGAATCAACACGTCATCAACTTCAATCGTCAATCACGATCGGTTCATCCACTCTTGTACCGCCAACACCCCCTGTCTTCCCAGGTGTCCCTGAGTCAGCCGCAACCTGAGCCGCACCTGCAGCAACTTCCCCGACAGGAGTGACACTTTCCTTATCCGCAGGCATATCAATGTTTTCTCCTGGTTCAATATTTTCAGGGGGGACATCACCCTGGCTTATGACAGGGGGTTTCTCGTCATTTACAGCAAACAGGGGGGCTACGGCCTCGGCTACTTCATTATTCTTTACCGGTGAAGCCTTTTTCCCATCATTGACAATGTGATCGGATTTCGTCGGAACTTCGGCAGGAGTTTTCTCTTTGTTTTTCCGTGGTTTTCTTGTACGATAGACGAGCTCCCTCAGCTCGGCAGGGCATTTTACTTCCATCCATGGCTTCCTTGGCAAACGACGTTTCACTTCGTTCTCTATACTCTTCCTTGCTGACCTGGTCGAATGGGAAAATTGCAAGTGAAACTTCGACTTAAAACAAAATATTTGGCACTCAACAATTTTTTACGCACATGCATTCTATAATACATTATCTAGGTATTTAATATCTTTCAAAAATCAGTATCTGTTGATAATTTACTGATCAACTGAAACTGCTTCAATGTTTTAGTGGTCAATGTTGCTTTCAAAGCGTCCGAAAAAGGCTAATTCATGTCATACATTTCTGCAGAACACTGAATGAATTAAGTAGATCAATTAGATCATAACATTAGATCGATTAGATCGGAAATTCAATTAGAACACTCAACGAATTAAATACATCAATTAGAATTAAAATATTCAAACTCACCTCATTACCTTTGTGGAACTAAAAACGAACTCCTCGGGAGGATCAATAAACTGGGGTTGTCTGGTCGGAGACGACCTTCCTCGAGATTTATTTTGACCGTTTACCGCTGAATGATTTTTCACCGTTGGCGCAGACAACTTCCGATTCACCCCAGCCCCTAAAGTAGGCTCGCTTTGCTGCTGCTGCTGCTTAGGAGGCGGATTAGAAAGAGGTTGGCTAATAGGCAGTGCCGTAGGAGGTTGGGGAGGAGATTTCAAACCTGGGGTATTATATGATGTCACAGTGTGCTCAGCATAAGGTGCCATCTTGGTGACCCCAGGCCCCATGCCCGGCTTGACGTCACAATAAGCAGGATATGTTTTTTGTTTTGGAGGTCCAGATCCTTGAGAGGGCTGGTACGAGACTGCGTGTACTGTCTGCATATGATGAGAGAGACTCGCTGGAAATAAAAATAAACTTGATTACAATATGACATTAACTACAGTAGCACAGGGGTGGATTTATAGGGGGGTGCACAGGGGTGCGCACCCCTGTTGGCCTTGGTCAACAGGCGTGCAAGACTGCAAGGGAGGTGCAAAAAAAAATTCAGAAATATGGCATAATTTCCAAGGTTTTTCCTTTTTTCAAACTGGAGCTCACACTTCAATGCCCATATCGCAGAAAATGGCATTTCTAGGGTTCTAATTTTCAAAATTTTCTAGGGGCATACCCCTGAACCCCGTAGGGAGCTCGTGCCTTTGGCGCTTGAGTCGTTAGGAAGCCAATTCATTTGAATGCTCTCCCACCACCCCCTAAAGAATTATAAAGAAACACTGGGCTGCTCACCCAGCACCCCCTAGAAAAACCTTGCTGGATCCACCCCTGCAGTAGCACAGAATAGAAATTGTATGATAGAATCACATGTATTACGTACATTCAACAACGGTGGTTTAATTGTTCATTTTTCTCAATTCTTTTAAAATAATTAAGATTTATCCAAATTGAAATCTTTGATTTAAAATATTTGTGAAAAAAAAACAGCAAAAAATATTATTTGAAAATTGTTGGATACGCCGTAAGTTTTCTTTAGAGATAGTTGGCCATTGTAAAGTTTTCTATTCTCAACAGAAAATGGTTGCATGACATGCAAAATGACTGAAAAACGGCAAACTTCGCAAGGCTATATTATCCGCATTTTACAACATTTCGCAAGGAAACTCTGGAATATTACTAATTTTGTGATGTTCTTTCAAGTTGTGATGAAATTTTTGTCCAGACTTGTTTTGATCAAAATTTAGTCTATAATGCAAATGGTCCATTAAAAGCTGTCTAATTAGTTCTATACCTTGATTATGCAAGACTTTGCCACAATGCTTACATTCACAACCTTTCTTTCCAAGTGGCGAGTTGCTCACAAATCGCTTCGTTGCAGGACCTAAAGAAAAAAGGTTGATAAAAACGCTATAATGTCACGTTGCGTTTTCACGCAATATGTTAAATTAATGCGTGAAGCGTGCCATTTATTAATGGTATTAATTATCTTTAGTTGTAGTAACATGTTACGTTGGAAATTATCGTTAAGAAATCGACATGAATGACGTCACCTTTACGTGGTGGACTGATATTATGACGTCATTATAAAATCGGTATCGGGTGGATTGTGGCATGAATAATCGGTAATTTCAGATTGTCGCACAATCAATCACTAGCAGGGCGGCAAGTTCCTGCCAGAGGGTCTACAGTTCATTTTCGTAGCTGCTCCTGGTCACAGATGATAGATAATACCAGATAAATCACTCAGCCAAAATTGTGTCCGCGATTTTTTATGAACACGCGTTGGCCGCCATTTTGGCAGTAAGTGTAATTCAAGCATTTTGGCAGTAAGCGCCATTTTGGCAGTAAGTGTCGCACGCGCGAAAATCGCGGACACGAAAATCATAGGAAAAGATACACAGTGAGACATCTGGTATGATCTATAATCTATGTCCTGGTTAAGTCATTTTCCACTCCAGATTTCCATCTCCCTTCCATCAACACTGAATTACATAAACTATTGCAAAATTCATGGAAATTTCAATGTGCAGTGAGTGTATGCTGACGTGTATTTGTGGTGCTGCTCACCCCTCCCCCCCCCCCCATAAAATCTATGTCTAAAAACATACCATCTAATCCGTTCTGGTGAGTGTTGACGTTCTCCAAAGATCTCTTACGCGACAACAAATGTTTTGACGAATGAGCCGGGCGGGGTTCTGCGACCTCGTTCACATTGGCCTGCGGTATATATAACCGAGGTGAGTGAAGCATCTTCCGGGTGGGTGACGTAATCGGTGACGGATGCATGCTGGAAGTGGACTTGGATCTAGTCTTCGTCACGTGGGTTGTAGGTTGAGGTGTCATCGTGACGTCACTAGTCACCTTAGGTGGGGATGCTCTCAAAAATTCCACAATACTTTCCAGCGGTTTGCGTTTTTTCTCTTTTCTCCCCGCGATTATCTTCTCCACTACCTCACGGGAAACACGCTTGACACCTACAGTGATACGCAACGCACATTTGTGAAATGTCAAAACAGTCCAGGCCTTAAAATATCGGTCGGTTACGGACATTGTCCGACCCATTCGTGAAATTGTCCGACGTAGAAAAGAAACCACCGGACATTCTGTCCGACCTAAGTGAAACTGAGGTTTATTGTTTGTCCGACCCGAGTGTATTGGTGTCCGACCGAACTGTAGTTTTGTCCGACGTAAATCAAAATGTACCCTAGCACAGGAGGCCAGGACTAGAGGCAGGCTTGTATGTTAAATGGAAAATCAGAGTACTATTGTATAAAAGGTCAACTGGAAATGTTGTTTTAACGTAGTCGAGCGCGGGGCGGCGAGCGAATTGGTGAAGTGGAAAACGGGCTTAAGTTGTCGAAGTCTTTTTCAGGATACTGCTGTTCTGGCAAGTATGTATGAAAGAAACAAATTATTTAATATCTTTACAACATTTACCGTTTATTCATTTGTGTTATTCAGACTTATTTCCGAGTCAAAAATGAACTGAAGGTCATCGGACATATGTCCGACCCAATCTCAACGTCACCGGACATTTTGTCAGACGGCCCTGGAAAATATATTTTAAGGCCTGCAAAACACAACTTGTATATTTTTAAAGTGCCTATGTCATGATTTGTGTAATTTATTATTTGTAATCTTCGGTACATTTTATGAAAAAATGCAATATATCTTTAAAAGAAAATATTCCATCTTCACAGGATTATCAGGCCTCAAACTTACCGGATATGACATCAAACCGGGAATTGCAAATTAGATTTCTTTTGTTTCTAGCGTATAAAATTCCCGATTTGATGTCATATCCGGTAACTTTGAGGGCTGATAATCTGTGAAGATGGTATATTTTCTTAAAAAATTCATTAATAATTCACGAGGAAAGTACAAAAGAAACGAATGTTTAATCAATGTTTGTAAATCGGATAAACATTTGTCCTGATTTAAATAAACTTCAGCTTTGATTTTCTCGGCTTAGACAATGTTTATTTTTAAAATTACTTCGCCAATAAACTCATAAGATGGGTCATACAGATCGGATGTTTTATCTAGTACTTATAAAGATATATTGCATTTCTTCATAAAATGCACCAAAGGTAAAAAATATTTAAAATCCCAAATCATGACATAGGCACTTTAAAGAAACTTGTTATTTGTCCGGTCACGGAGAAACCAACGATTTGGCTTTTTTTCTTCATCACTCGACTACCGAGGATTTGTTTGAAAATCAATAAAATTTACTTGATGTCATTTTAGCAAATTTCAAAATCTAAACCACGGTGGTATAAAATTTCAATCACTTACATGCTTGTCGTATTTCATTGATATCAAGCGGAACATTAGACACACGTGCCAAGTGAGGAAACTTGAGGAAATCAGTGCACAAATATCGCGAGACCTTGGTCATCGGTAGAACCTTCATGAAGAACGCAGCTTTGGGTTTAGCATGTGGTGGACTGCGAGGTCGCAATGAATGACTGGACGACAGATGTCGAGTCAAGTTTGCCTCTGTATTGAATGTCTGAAAATGTAACACAAAATATATATACAGTGAATATATAGAGGTATCGGATAAACAAACACTTTCAATTCCGAGAAAAGCAAAGCCAGGTGGTTAATACAACCACTACCGATCTCCTGATGAAACGCTTTCGCTAGAAATAGAGTGGTTTAGATTTTGACTTCCGCTACCGTCACCATTAACCAATCAGATGCAATTAATTTACCCGATTAACCAATCAGATGCATTTAATTTACCCGATTAACCAATCAGATGCGTATTAAGCCTGTGAGAGGTAGTGGAAGTCAAATCTGAACCTCGCTTGATCTTTTTCATGCAGTTCAGACCCAAACCATAACAGCACGTTGCAGAATACTGCCCATGTGCTTTGAGATAGCATCATGATTACTAGATTGCATTGATATCGAAGGAACTAGACTCAGTTCCGAAATA